ATCCCAGCCAAATTTCTCGTTAAAAGGTACTGGTTCAAACCCACCTCCGAGAACAAGGTGAAGCTAGTGTTCCTTATCTGACAGTAGGGGGCGCTGTCTGTGGTGGTAGTGTCCTCAGGGGCTTTCTGGAGTCCAGTGAGTCGTCTACTGACTAATTTGTACATTAAAAATTCATTGGTATGCTGTACTTGGGGGGGGGGGGTAAACATGAGGTGGCATGAAATCTGATCACAAATTGAAAAGCGATTTCCTGCATGCCTGTGTCCTCACCATGCGAGCCTCCTGTCATGCACAATTATTTCCAGCGGTGTCTGACGAGTCAGCCGCGAACGAATCCCCTCTGCGTTGCATAATTAATACGCGTAGAAAAGGGAGGGGATGTATTTTTCATCAGGTCATGTAAAATACAGCGAGTTTAATAGCCAATTCGTCTCTGTTAGTAAGACAGGACTCTGCTGTGTTTCGCTCCTTAAGGAGCACTTAGCCCATGAGTGGCCTGCTAGCATAGCTACGCTTGGATTAGACGCTGTGGATTGAAGTCCTGGGGATATGCAGGACTCCTGCATGCCTATGCTTCTTCGGGGAGTAGTTTTATTCATCCCTGCAGCCTCATTGGGCCATTCAGAAGAGCAGAACGCTTTCCATTCCGATGCATGGCCTGCTAGGAAGGCCTAGCATGCTATCTATGGCTAAAAAGCCTCAGTTGGAGCACCAGTGATGGTTGCATTGCTGGCCTAGTAGCATGTTTGCGGTAATTCACGGTACTTGGATGTCTGGCCCATTTGCCAACGAAACATCACCCTTAAAGATGGATCAATACTACTGTCCTTGGGAATGGAGAATTAAATGGGGGCAACTTTACTACCTACATGATGTGAGGTATTGATATTTATATGGTTGGGTTAAGCATCCAATTGGAATGGCCAGCTGCTCAATAAATGCTATTATGGAAACTAGTTGTGGACTGCTAGCATGGTTATTAATGAAGACTACTGCCCTCCTACAAAGGGCGGGGGGGAGAGAAGGTGGCCCCCAGGCTGAGATAACCCCTACAAGCATAGTTATCGATTCTGAGCAGGGAAGACCTAGATCCAAGCATTACTGCCATTGCTTATTCCTCCTTGGCCTGGGGCCGTCATCTTGTCCCCTGACTGTTTTGCTTAATGGACCAGGACACTCCTGAGCTGGGCCAGAACAGAAACACAGCTGGTAGTCGCTCATTTTGAATTGCATGGAATGGAGTCCAGCAGCCATAGTCTTCTGTCGAACATCCAAGGTTGTCCTCACCTAGCGCCCTTCCTCCATACTTCATGCAAAGCCCATGAGCTTGTCACCCTGCCGTCTTCCTGTTCCGTTCAAGCGAAATACTCTTTGTTCACTTGTGGCGTCACTAAAACATGGGTTTCAGGATTTCACCCCCCAGGGAAATTCCACCGAATGTCCGTATGCTACGCTTGCTGTCCAGGCAATGAGTCCCCAGTTCTCACTTGCATCTAGTTCTACCTGCTGGCAAAAACCAAAAGACGAGTTTCCCCCCCCCCCTCCCATGGCGTCCCATCCCGGGGGGCTATCCTGGGTCTCGCAATACCGCCCATATCAGTTAGGTCCGTAAAGCTTATCTCCTCCCCAACATCGCTGCAAATTCCAGAGTCACCGAGGGACAATTAAGGGGGGGACATTAAATTAGCATCTGCTGCCTTACAGCCTGACTGCCGCCCCAACCCCCCTCGGGCCCCCAACCTCCAGTCACCGTGGCATCATTAGTCGTTACACCAAAACAATTGCGCTTTATGGCCTATTAAGCTGCGAGGCTGCAATGGAATGGCCCCTGATTTAACACTCGGGGGACCGGGTCAGAATTTAAGATGGGCTGAAGCACGCCCCCCCCCCCGTATTAGTCTAATTGAAAAGGAAACTCCGTGGTAATAATGCTGTAGCAACAATCACCGCGAGTGGCACAGACCCCGCTGTGCCGATATTTCAGTAATAAACCATAAATGAAATGGATGGCAGTGGGAGAGTCTGTGAGTTGACTTGCTGGCTCATTGATTCCATAAAGGAGCACTTTTTTCCCACTGGAGAGACTATGGGAACAGACCCCCTCACCCCCCCACCGTATCATATGTTGGCCTCCTCCCTCTGTGCCATTAAAGTCTCCCAGCGTGGGAGAAGCTCACTTCATACCAGTCACTCCCACTGGTGCCCTGGGACAAAGAGGATGACCAACACAAGAGTGGCACTCCTGTCCATTTGCCCCTCACCCAGTAGCGGCCAGGACCCCCACCTGCCCAAGCCATCATTGAAAGTCGTCGACTCAAGGGGGGGGTGTGTGAACAGTTATAGTTGTCAACCTGGGGGGGGGTGTGTGACAATTCAAACTGTCAACTTGGGGAGGGGGGGGGGGGTGTTAATACCCTTCAGAAGATGCCACCCGGGGGCATTTGGTATTATTGCCCTTGCCAGGATCTGCCACTGTGCTGATCGGATAAGTTGAGTCAGCCTCCAAACACGGCAAAGCCACAGCAGTGGCAAGCAAAGCTAAAATTAATTTGTCAGAGTAGAAAAACCGCCGCACTCCCCATAATTTACCTGTCCCCTGATAAACGGAAGCGGGAAGTCAATAAGAGGCACCCCAACATCTGACCTGGGGGCAGTGCCAGTTCATTAAAAACCCGTAGAATGATGTACGGTGTCCGCATACGAAGACACAGCGAGCGGCAGGTCCTCGGTCTCTTTGAGCTGTTTGTCTTTGAGGGGAAAAAAGAAACATTAACACCAGTTTTGACACAGTGACAAATTTTTGCTGCTATAAACCATTTCTGGAACTTTCGCTAATATAAGCAGAACCCTGGTGATGGATGACGGTTTGGAAACCTGGTAATTTACAGTCAGGTAACCCTGCAGCAGCCTGTGATGTCCGGTCTGGTAAAGAACACGCTGACAGATTCTTCTATGCTGAATTTGTGAGAGCTGCAGGTCCGTGATTAAAAATGTTTTTCTGCATGTCTACTTTTTTTATTTTTGACGTAAGGCACAGCGAGAGCATGTGGCCTGAATCATGCATTAAACTCCATAAGTAAACATCTAAGCTTCTACAGCAATGGCAGTCGTAATCTGCCGAAACCACAAGCTGACACAATCCATAGCTGGCACCATGGAGGTTATTGCTTGTGGGAGTTTTACTTGGACAAAATTTTACTGAGGGCAGAATGAAAAATGATTGGTACAGAGAGATAACCAATCAGATTGTAGAGAAGGTGGGCCTAAGCAACTAAAGGAGGCGGGACCAAGACACTTGATTGGTTGGTCCCGCCACCTCTAGTTGCTGAATGTTGCTGAATGTTATATTAATTTTTCAACTTGATATTAAGTATCAATTTCACTCTTTATCCAGCACAGGCCTCACATAATGAAACCAAAGGAAAGCTCTGAGGTCCCACTGGGGGTGTATACGGGGGCGGAGCTATGGGTGTACTGGCCCCAGCTGAAAACTGATTGGCCAGAGTGCCCCTCTCCCCTGTCATTCATCGATTCAAAACATATCATTGGCTAAAGATAAGGTTGGCCCCTCTGCAAAAATTATGGCCCCTCTTCTGCCTTCCCACTTAAAAAAATTCTGGCAGTTTCTGCAGACAGGCTATCACTAACAGGCTAATGCTAGCACTTCGGTGCTAGCGCCCCCCTATTCCAGCGGCACGCCTTCACAGGGCTCCATGCGGGCTCATTAGCCTGGACCGAGGGGGCAAGCAGCTGGAGGACTCTGGAGCACATGGGGGGGGGTTTCAGAGCACATTGAGCTCCCAGCTGCTTCTACCTCCCCGCTTGCCATTGACAGAGGGTAGATTTACCATGTAAAATTTTGACCGTTTTTCTTTCGCTGACATTTAAACATATTATGCAAATTTAAAGTGAAATAAAGATCAAACGCACCCCCCCGCCTCCCGCCCCCCCCAGTGGCACAGCTGTCAAAGGCAGATGCATCCTGCAGCGGGGATCTAGGTTTTTGTGGCAAAGCTGCCCGCGGACTGGCTGCTGTTACTGTCAGCTGGGTCATCTCTATCTCGGCACTCTGTAGGAATATCTGGAGAGCTGCAGTGGAATTAAGTGAATAACCCTCTTCTGTAAGTGTGTTAGATCACGCGATGAAGCCTGCATCCGGTGAAAATAAGTGGGTGGCAGAAGAGATGTGCCCCTCCCTCAGCTGTGAGCAATGTGCATCAAGGGGGAGACCTGAAGTAGGACCAGTCTATCAGCCTGGGGGGGTGGTGGAGATCTAGGAAAATTAACATATCAAGGAAAAGGTAAAGAATGTAGGGCTGGATTTTAGGTTTTCATTCCCCAAGAAAAGCAGGTGCACATTTATAGATTGTAACATATGGAGAGGTCTGGATGTGAATTGGATGCACCAAGGTCTTTAGTCAGGTGTCTCAGGTGATAGTGCAGCTATCAGCCTCCACAGATCCACCTCCCCAGGACTCTGTCGCTGTGACCGCTCCTCCATCAGCGCCCAGCCAGACAGCACTTGAGTCCAGCGTCAAGCATCTATGAAGGGCTTGCACCCAAGGCATCTTCTCCATCAGTCAGCATAGATACCTTAAAATGAAGGCGCTGCCTCTGGCACAGACTGGCAAGCACGGTGACCCCAGGGCAAGGAAGATCCCCCCACCCCCGCCAAGTCAATAAATGCCCTACGATCTACTGGATTCAAAGGGCATTCGTGATTACCTGGCCTTACCCGTGGACACGGAGCCACCCAGGTTACAACAAAGTATCATACATCTTATTCCTGCGAGGAAAACAAAAACCAAAGCCAGCAGGTGGGCTGAAAAAAACTGGGAAAAAATAGAGAATTTTTTGTGCAGCCTTTTCCTTCGGGTTCTGTGGTACAAAATAAATTGGTTCTCTTCTTGTTATTAACCTAATAATACCTTTGTCTTCACAGGTCTTCACACATTCTTACCATGTTTCTCTGCTTTTTCTCTCCTTCTGTCTCTCTCCAGCTTTCGTGTTGAGCTGCCCTTTCCCCCAGCGACCAGCCTATGGTGATGTGTCCGTCACCAGCCTTCATGCAGGTGGAGAAGCCTATTTCTACTGCCTCAATGGCTACCAGCTTCTGGGTCCCTCGACGCTGACCTGCCGCAATGCCACCACCCCCTACTGGAGTGGCAGGGAGCCCCGTTGCCTGGGTGAGGAGACTGACACACACCCGCAGCATGGACGTCCAAGGGGAGTTAATGGTCACCAGAGGTGGACATTTCAGATCCAGAAAGTACAAATCCAGACCAAGGTTTTGTTTCAACCAACCAGTTGAGTTTAATTAAAGAGTCACAGTCACAGAGTACTCAACTGGTTGGTTGAAACAAAACCGTGGTCTGGATTTGTACTTTCTGGACCTGACCTTTCCAGCTCTGATGGTCGCACGCTGTATCTTCAGGCTGAGAATGTTATTTCCCTCTCTTTCCTGCCTGTGTTTAGAACTCTATCCCACGTGGCAATAAGCAGTACATCATTTTAATTAAATTGTTTAATATAACTCATTAAATGTTAAAGTTTTTACTTTGATCACATGGGAATTCCGCTGAACTCACCTCAACTTAAGAGATGGCACTTGAAAGCAATACTGCACCAAACCGTCAATAACTCCTTAGAGTCTACAGAGAAGCTGATAACTAAATAAACACTTTCACTAGCGTAGGAGTAATTAAACTTGATTACAATTCCGCCTGATATATTTGGCTTCCTATTCCGTGAATGTGAACTGAGGCTTAATCATTGATTTTGGCTTTAAGTGCATCAGCTGCAATGTTTGTTTTGGAGGGAGGCGAATTTTAAATGCCCCTCCTCCCTTCTGAAGTGGAAAACCTAAGAGACTTAGATGGGAGGGCATGGGGAGACAACTGCCTGTCCACGTTTTTGTAAAAACATTGTGAGAAATGTACCTTTTCACGCTTGAAAGCCTTCTGGTTGACAGCTTTGATTACGAACGAGACATATTCCCCGAAGGTGATGTCATTTGGATTCAGGATCTTATTAGTTTGTTAGGCCGAACTTCGGGTACATATAGAAAAGTGGCCATCTTCGCCTAGGGCTATAGACAGTAAAGAGGATGGGAGGACTTGTGAATATCTTGAGTTGTTGAGCAGGTATAAACGAACCAATTTAAAGGGCCAGCGTGACTCTGAATGCTGATGCGCCTTGTTCCGAAAAGCGGACCTGCCCGGAATCTCCCTGCCGCAGTGCCACAGACATGCTTCTTTTGCTTAATCTCCACAGCCACCTTAATTAGCCTCAACCCCCCTGCTCCCATCCTGCGCCGTCGTCACAGCAGGCCTCCCTGCATCCCCCTTTTCAATCCGCACCATCGATCGCCTGTCGGCTCGCGGGATTGTCTGCCGTTTTCATCATGCTGACTTCTTGTCCATTGGCACGTTTAGTAATTTTTATTTCCTTAAGCCTGTCTCCCTGGGACTTGTTAAACTGACTATTTCAAGAGGATGCGTAAGATCCTTCCTTACTCCTTAGCTAAGTGCTGCTTTTTCAGTCTTTCTTTTTTGCTTTCCTCTGACTGCCCACCAATCATTTTTCCTCTTGCTCTTTCTTGTGCCTTGGTCAATACAGCCTCATGTGGTGGGATGATCAAGCCTGCCACTGTGGGCCGCATCGTGTCCCCCGGTTTCCCAGGCAACTACAGCAACAACCTGACATGCCACTGGGTGCTGGAGGCCCCCTTGGGCCACCGGCTGCATATCCACTTCGAGAAGGTGGCTCTGGCCGAGGATGATGACAGGTAGGGCAAGCCATCTCTGATGGCTCCTACAAACAGGAAGTCAGCACCTACAAACAGGAAGTCAGCACCTACAAACAGGAAGTGTTTGGCGACTAATGCGCCCAGACCAGAGAGGCAAAATCTGATACAGATTGAGTCCTTTCACTCCCATCTTGCATTTCTGCTGTTGCATAAATTATACCTCTTTCCTCATTTCTTTATTTTCTGGGGAGGTATGACTGTTCAGTACATATCTACTATCGGGGCTGCAGAATCCTTCAAAAGCTCTTTTATGTATTCAAAAATAATTACAAATTTTCCATCCTCCAAAGTAACTTGTGTCCCCAGAAGCCTACAGATGTATGGTGCAATATGTATTGTTTCAGTACAAAGGCTGCCATGTCTAGAGAAATGAGCTTTGCAGTTCTTTGAAAGTACATAAGCTGAACCCAGCGGTACCCTTCAGTTATAGTTCCAGGCCGGGTTTGAGGCTTGGCAGTTAGAAAGTTCTTGTGAGTGGAGCACTAATGGGCATCCTTTTCTGCTTCGTGCTCTGTCCCGGTCCTGCCGTTCAGACTGCTGATCAAGAACGGCAACAACATTGACTCACCACCCCTCTACGACTCCTACGAGGTGGAGTACCTGCCCAACGAGGGCATCGTCAGCAGCAGCCACCACCTATTCGTGGAGCTCATTACCGATGCGTCAGGAACATCCACCGGCACAGCCATTCGATACGAAGGTATGCAGGTAGGCCCGAGTCGGGGTCTGATGTCTTTTTCCCAGCAGCCCATGCTGGTCTCGGTCTTGAAGATCAACTCTGTAGATGCAGAGCAGTTGTGCAAGTTGGCTGTAACGGGAGCGCCTGATGTTTGATGTACTCTTGAAGCTCAGCCAGGCCCCACGTCCTTGCAAGTAGCACTACATTCACAGGAAGACATAGGTGTTGAAGATGAAAGGATGTTCTGCGTGTGCTGCCCTTTCTCAACCAGCCCTTATGTATCTCAGTGCACTGTGTCCTCCTCTTGACCAAGCCGCTTTTAACTAGGGCGGCCTTAGGCCCTGTTCTTGTCTTATTTGTCGTCATTGGTGAATAAACATAAAATGGAAAACTAATTCATCAGAACAAATCCAACAGTAGTTCTTGCAACACAATTTAATTGTAAATTCCTGTTATTTATAGCCTGCTTCTTGTATCAAATCCAAAAGCGAGCTGTCAGTCTCCTTTCAAACACAGCATAGCACAGCTTGGCTTAATGCTGGGTGCACAGTTCAGGCCTGAATTCTCATTACCAGCTAAAGTATTTGAATATATTTCGGGCTTTGCTGCTTCATTATGATGCCTTTACCATCTTATGGCAGTTGTCTTTAGTTTTATAGTGTCTCTGCCAGAGTTTTTTGCCTTTTTCATTTGAGGTGGGGGAGGACGGTTAGTTACTTAAGAAAATAGGGTTTCTAACAGGAAGCGACTGAGACTAATATACAATGTGAAACACAAAGATTAATAAAAACTGTAGAAGGAACTAAATGTTTCATTGGGTTTTTACAAAGGCTGTTCTCCTCAACATCAATTACGATAAGCATTAGAATGAGAGTTTCCGGTGATTGCGGTGCTGGCCGGTGCTGTAGCGTACCACACCAAGCTGTTCCAACCCTGATAGATCATTCAGGCGTGCAGTAATCTGGCATTTTAATGAAGAGTGGGAACAAGCCTCAAGAACAATCGATGTATGCAAAGTGCTCATAGAGATGTGAGCTATTTAATACCCCTAATACCATGTAAATAAATAACTGTTCTATTAATTAGGTAATCAGAGCACAATCCCTTTCTAGGTGATGATTTGAGAAATATAAATTTTAGTATTTGAGACACATGAAAACCAGGAAGGCTATTGACCTGTTTGTTAACTTGGCAATCAAAGACGTTCATCATTATAAATTGGACAGTTCCTTTGCATGCAGGACTGTAAATGTATTCCCCAGAAAATAACAATATGTATGCCAAGATTCTGTTCATATTCAAGAACAATATTCATTTCACACAAGGCCTTATTGTTAGGATTGTTGTTGTAGAATTCCAGGTCTTTGACTAGTCAGGAAAAAAAAAATTAATCATAAAACCTGCCTTATGCAGTTATTTATTAAAAGTATATATAAATTCTGCTGGCAAGTCGGAAACATAAAGAGAGTTTAGTAAACAGAAACAAGCGAATGTTGTGAATGAATAATTCATGTGGCACTCTGGACGGCAGAGGGGGAGGGGGAGGTTAGGTTTAAGAGGGGCTCCGTAATTGGACGATTCTCCAATCATCTTCATCCGTAGATCTGAGAAGAATATTAAATAGTTATGAGCCTACCGTCTACCACAACCCTCAGAAACCCCTGCACTCAAATGACTGTGTGCAGACACAGGGTATGACTTCAAAGAAACTTTGCAGACAAGCAAAGTCCAATAAACAATTACTATTCAGCAGAGCATTTGGTTGGGGATTGAGGGACATTCTTATCATGTTAACTTACTTTTATTAGGTTGACAGCTGGTCCAGCAGGTGTGACTGGGTCTCCAGGGAAACAGCCAATGAAAATGATCCTTCCCGTGTGGAGGCGGACTCCATTTTTATCACGCTTAGTGATTGGCTCTCCGGAAAATACCGGGCAGTGAAAAGTATCCTCATGTTTCGCATGTGACGCTCATGGTCGAGTTCTTTATCAAGCGTTGATCGGGCAGAGTAAATAGAGCCATGGTATTCAAACTACAGGCCCCTCTACATACATGCTGATTCAGTTATATGATCGTGTTAGTAATGAAGGCTCATAACAGGCATATAATATGTTCACATTATTTTATATTAATAGGTTGCGATTTCAAAATAGGTCTGTTGCACCCTGCAGTTTGAGTACCTCTAGTGTGTAGAGTGTGTTCAGATTGTGTACATATTTAAAATATTTAATGCCAAAGTTCCTCTCTGGCCTGTGGAGAGTTTATTTTCGCTTGTGTTGACTCAGAAGGCGCTCCCAAGCTAAGGGACCTGAAAGTGACCCGGGTGACGTGGGCTGTCTGTCTGTCCCCCAGCCTTTGCTCAGGGCCGCTGCTACGAGCCATTCGTCAAGTACGGCAACTACACCAGCAGCGACGCCAACTACACGGTGGGCGCCGTGGTGGAGTTCTCCTGCGACCCCGGCTACACGCTGGAGCAGGGCTCCGTCCTCATCGAGTGCATGGATCCCAGCAACCCGCAGTGGAACGAGACCGAGCCCGCCTGCAGGGGTGGGTGCCTCTGGCCGGGGCATCCTGGGGGTACTGGGAGGACTCAGGTGTGGCATGCTGGGCCTTTTCCCAGTGGGCCGATGGCACTGTGGGCCAGCAAAATTTGTCATGGGGGATCCCTCCCCAACATGGAAAAATTCATCTTGGGCCACCAATATCCCCCCCCCCTCCAATACAGTGACTTTTATAGTAGGTATGTAATGGTGTGAGAGTGTGCCCGGTGACGGGTTGGCGTCCCATCCTGGGTTGTTCCCTGCCTTGTGCACATAGCCTCTGGGATGGGCTCTGGACCCCCCGCAGCCCTGCATAGTACAACAGTTACATAAGATGGATGGATGGATGGATGGATGGATGTTTGATGGGCCGCAGGAATGAGTTCGGGTACACGTCTCGGGGAAGCGCGGGAGCCCCGAAAGGAGGTCGGCACGCCACCTCAGCCGAGAACGGCAGTCAGAGCTCGGCCATAAATAAGCCAGCTCTTCAAAACCCCGAAGGGCCAGGCTTTGGATGACAAAGCCCTTCAGCACTCTGCATTTTAGGGTCTTAAGTATGTAACCTGCCTCAGCTCCTTGCTGGCTGGGTACAGGGCCTCCGTCGCCCTCCACCTGTCTGTGGATTCAATCCGGGGTCTTCGAGCACGGCCGCGTGCCCGTCATCGGCCTTATGCTGGCATGCGCAGCGATGCCAGAGCGAAGCAGGGAGAGAACGGCGCCAATGAGCAGGAAGCCAGAAAAAGATTGCTCTTCTCTGATGAGGATTGGCAATGGGAGAGAAAGTATTTATGAATCCGATTTCACCTTTAATGTAAAAGTAATATCTCCCGTCACATCCGTGCTCACTCATTGCCCTGAATTCAGTCCCAGATGTTTGCTCTTGTCCAGAACTTCCCGTCAGTTGATCTGGAGCGGGTTTGAAGTAACGTAAGCCCAAGAATAGCAATGAGGCTTCCCGGGAGTGTGGCTCTGAGACGAACTTCCCCTAAGTAAGGAGACGCAGTACTTGGGATCACAAGCGGCCATTCGCAACTTTTTTTTCCACCAGCTTAGGTCTCTGTATCTTTTTGCTTATGTGTGCATATATGTGAGCTCGCACGAGCACGGACTTGGGTAGAACACGTCAAGCGCGGGCATGTATTTGCGAACGCACATTTCAGCACGTGTCCGTGTACATGTATGTGTAGATGCTCATCTGCATTCCCTCTTGATCTCATGCACATACGTGTGCGCATAGACATCGGTGTGGCTCGCAGCCAGAACCGGGAAATGCGTCCTCAGCCGGTTTGTCTCTCCTCCCCTTCCCACAGCTGTCTGCAGCGGAGAGATCACCGACTCGGCTGGAGTTGTCTTGTCTCCCAATTGGCCCGAGGCCTATGACAAGGGTCAGGACTGCATCTGGGGCATCCATGTGGAAGAAGACAAGAGGATCATGCTGGACATCCAAGTGTGAGAGCTGAATCCCCCTCACTACTCACCCACCCCCACCCCCCCAGGCAGAAAGCACCGCTGCTGACTTTGCCACACAAAAGACTCCTGAGGAGACACAACTGTACTTTTTATAGCTACTTTAAAAAGTACAAACATTTAAAATGACCCCCACAGATGTCAGGGAAGGATAAGCAACAAGTGGTCTGATAGGTCGGCGTTGCTGTCAGTCATGCCTGCAGCTGCCCATCCCCTGCCACTCTCTGTTTAAAAGCCTGCTTCTTAGGGCTGGACTAAGGTGACAAATTGGTTTGAAAGGGAACGAATTGACTGAAAGATCAGCTTGTCTGCCAGTTGCCTGACAGCATCATTGAAATATCAAAAGTTGAGACTTTTACAGTATTAAGTCAGGCAAACAAGAAATCTCGAGGGAGAGGGACGGACATAACCCGGCTGTGTCCCCCTCGCTCTCACAAACTCACACAAACATACGAACTGGTCGACCCACAGAAATTCTTTTAATGAGCGACAGACTCTGAGAGTAAGACGTCTAATCTACTGATGCTATATTTAAAACGGAAGCAGCTTTTTTTTTTGTTTCTCACACTTTTGATGGTGAGCGGCTAATCCCTATCGTGCTCCCAGTTGACCAATTTACCCAGAAACACCCTCTGGCTCCTGCCAGGGAAGGAGAGGTCCTGCAGTGCGCAGGGCTCTTTGAAATGGATATGTGACCAGCTTCTGAGGGGTTACGCCTCACGCTCTGTTGTTTAGCTATTCAGCATTAGCTATCCAAGTACAGTCCCCTTCGCATCCAAAATGACTTTGCCCATAGTTCACTAACCGATTGTTTCTCACCCTCTGTTCAGGGTGCATGCCACAGGCGCAAAATTTAAATCAGTTTATTTCACATACATCTAAGCAGCCATATCTCTGTGCCATTCCTCCCCACGTCCCTGCAACTCCTCCTGATCTGGTCTCTGTCGCGGTTTCCGTTGGCATCTCCTGCAGCTTGCGTGCGCGTGAACATTTGAAGATCAGCCAGTTGTGAGTGGTTGTGGAGTAGCAGTCAGAAGTGGTTTTAGCTGGTCATGCAATACAGCTGCATGTATGCAGGATGACTCTGGCTAGAAATAGAATCTGTGTCACCACAACAAGCACAACATAGGGGGACGAGAGAATCACTCAGCCTGGGTACCGGTCGCCTCAGTGGTGGTCCCACGGGCTCAGTGAGCACTGATACATTTATGTGCTGCATGCTGGAGGGGGAGGGGGGGGCACTCATTCTGCACAAATTCCTGTGTCCCAAAAAATGCGAAATCACTGGGTAGACTGATGCTGCGGTTTGTGGTCTTAACCAGACCTCGCAGTGGGAAAGATCGTTACATATTGCAGTGTGTCTCCATCCCAGAGAGCGTAACAGCAAGTACAAGTCCAAGAAGATAACAGCTGTGTTTTGGGGGAAAAAACAACCAGTAAAGAGAAGAAAAGGATGTTTGCACATGAATAGGAGGTGTGAGCAACAGCACATGAAGGCCAATAACAAAACTCCAGGGGAAAGTAATTATTTCACAGGGTTTTTCTTTTTTCTTTACAAAGGTGGATCTCCTCTGAATCAATTATGACGAGCAGGGGAATTAGGGTTTCCAGTGATTGCAGTGTCAGGTGATGCTCTAGAGCACGGGGCCAAACTATGTCGGGCCCCGATAGATTATTCATGCGTTCAATAATTTGGCTTCTTTAATTAAGATTCTCTCATTTGCATATGTTTCTCTTCTGGGTTTTTTTTTTGTTGTTACATTTTTTATTTATTTCTCCTTTTCCGCATTGTCCCGGCAGCCTCGCCTCTACATTGTACGCCCCTAATAATAAATGGCATCTGCAATGTTAGGCACAACAAGCCGTCAACAGAATTAATTTCCCATTCATTTGAGGGAGAAGCGATTTGGGCAGATACAGCCGGCAGCGACGCTGCTGCACATCCCGCCTGTTATCTGTGACGCTGATGAGAACACGCTGCACTCCCCCGCGTGACGCCTGCTGAAAGTTAAACAACGCCGAGGCGCCTCCCTGCCCTGCGGTATTAAATACAGGCTTTCCTGTCCGCGGTCTGGCACAGTCCATTGAGACAGGGCAGCAGCGCTTTGTATCCCGAGGAGTTCCGGAACACCTGACAATTCCTCGCACAAACAGAATTCTCACATGTTTGTAGGTGAGCCAGTAGCAACTAGATCAGTATAAGATCTAAGGAAAACACGATCAGACAGATGGATCTGATGAGGCACTGGTCAGGTCGTACGCTCTAGCTGGGCGAAGGGAACCTCCCGCTTTCATCTTTAAATGACCAAATTCATCAAAGACCATATGGGACATTATCAGTAAGACATGTAAAATGAGTTCTGCAGATGTGGGGAGGAAGAAACCAAAAATGCACAAAGCCTGACTGTAGGAACTGGAGCGCCCTTCTATTCTGATATTCTGAACCTCAGCCGGCAAGCGGGGCCTCCTGAATTTGTCAATGCCGCTTATTCCATATCGGCAGGCTGGCTAAGCTTATGACTCTTTGATCCTTAGCCTGGTTAATTAGGGAACACTGAGATACTGCTGATTGCTCCCTAACCCATTCATTGCTGCTCGCCATTAATAGTGCTTCACTCAATTTGGGTGACTTTTGTTTCCAAAAAACATGTAGTCTGAGTGTTCCCATTATTCCATTTATTCCGGGAATTCCGAGCCTTTGTGTGTAACCATTCTGTTTAATCTGGGCATTCCCGGCCTCTGTGAAGTCCGAGCATTCCGAGCCTTTGTGTACAAGCATTCTGTGTACTCCGAATATTCCAAGCTTTTAAACATTGCACGTAGCCTAACCATTCTAAGATTTGCCTTCCAGCATTTCATATAATCTGAGCATTTTATTCAAGTATTCTATGTAATTATGCATTATATATAATATCCCTTGTTGCACTAAACATTTCTCGCACAATAACCATCCTTACCCTCGAAGGTTATAATAATTGTATATGATAATTACTGCTTTGGTGGTGATGTTGTTTAGCTCTGAGTTTTACTCTGGAGTTCCATAATACCGGCATGTCTATTATTTTGCCACACTGACCTTTTAGTGCCTTGCGAGATGCGATCGCTGCAGTAGCCAGCAGAAGGAAAATATCTGACATAAGACCGATGACAGGACCGGTGAGGCTGTAGCAGTACGGCTACAGAAACTGCCACATGTTGGACGCTCATTACAAGGATTTAAAAACACTTTACCCCAGTAATGAGAATGCTTTCACTCTCCCATAATCATTCATCACTGTACCCACATTCGCAATTACAAGGGAACAGAGTGCGTAATGGTGGCTGATTAATTAATTTAGGCCGAACAGAAGGGCTTGCCTGCTGCTGATTAGGCTGCATCTTGGCTGCAGAGAGTCGGGGGAGGGAGTGGCCCAGGTGACCGTCTGTGCACCTGCGCGTTGGTCTGAGCTCAATCCAGCCCACGAGAGCCAACAAGTGGGAAGAAGTCAATGTGACACACGCTCCTCCGATCCAAGGGAACGAACGGGGCCGCAATCGGAGTCGGTTCTCTGCAGGGGTTATGGCTGCCCTCTAGTGGCACAACTCATGACTGATCGCAAGACAATCTATGAGCATGATAATCCGCCCAACAACTCATTTTATATAAAAATGAATCGTGCCAAGGCCCCAAATCTCATTTCATGGATTACGTAGCAAATTATATTATCTTAAAACATTTGAAATGGGGGTAGATTTGAGCAGATATAAGCTAGAACAGACGTGCTCCTTGTGTTCTGATTTGCTTTGTGTGAAAATTGTTAAGCACGGTTGTAATAGAGTGGTACAACCCCACACTTAAATCACGAGGACTCTTCCGGAAAATGTCAGCGGATTCCCTGGGACATGTTTTTGGCAGCTTCCTTGGGTAAGGGATAGTGTGGGCATGAGGTGGGGGGGTGGCGTTTGGCTGGGAGATTAGTCTCCCCCTCTCCCCGACTAGGCAGCCAGCCAAAGCAGCAACATTATTTAAAACCAATATTTAACATTTTAATTAAGGAAAGAACCCGCTGAAATGGAAAATCAAATTTTGCTTCATTGCCTGAAAATGACCAAAAATCTGCCAGAGCCTTATACGAAGTACCCCCTGATCGAATTAATTTTGGGCTGTATTTACCTGCTGTTATAGGAAATCAACATTGTACAGCTCTGGAAGAAAAAGTTGCCCAAGCTTGACTGTTCTCATTAAAAAAGGAGCGAGTCAAATGGGGGGTGGGGGTGGTGGTGGTGGGGGGGCACATCATTAACTGCACAGCGCATCCTAAACACCGTGAATGAGCGAAAATGAGTGAACGTGGGGGTCTCCTCTTTCTGTGGAAAAATGGGATTTTGCTTCAAGGCATAATGTTGCTGCAGCAATTAAATGTTGAACTCTGCATAGGAGTTACCTTTAGATAGCAGTGCGGCAGATTGCCTGAACACCGGCAACACACAGGGCAGGATGTGACTTCTTCATTACAGCCATGTACAGGAAAGCAGACAGACAGTGATCTCATCAGAACCATCTTGGCGGCTGAGATGTATTTCTGATTCCTTTTAAGAAAAAGTGAGCTAAAACAGACGTACATCCTTGCGTTTAAGCTTTATTGGCGTCTCTGTAGAATATAAATTAATCATCTGCTTCTGGGTTGAGTCCTCGGAAAGAGGCCAATATACTGTATATTTTTCCTCTATATTTTTTCCTGCGTGTTTTTTGCCAGTATGTTCGGCATCCGTGCCGCAGATCGATACGGAGTTTTGTACTCTTCCCCCTTCAGGATTTCCCTGCAAGGTGGAGGAGAGAGAATTGCAGTTTCCACACCTTGTATTTCATTCGCCGTGTATCTTATTTCACAGTTTTCCAAGCAACTGATTTGTAACTTCGAACAAGAGACAGGGAGAACGGCCACGGTCTGTGCTTCATCCTCATGAACCAATCCTTTTTTTCTTCTCCCAAAGTCCAGGAAGTCACACCAAAAATGGGTTACAGCTCTGACACACATGGGCACGTGCCATGAAAACATCAAGGCGAGCGACTCATGTGGTCCTGTCATCTTTGTTTACCTCCCTGTGCCTCATGGGAAGTGGTGTCTCCGTCGGGGCTACCCTGGTGGGGGGACCTGCTTGTTCTCACACAGACTGAATCATTTGACCTCTGTACAGAAACAGATATATGCTTGGCATCATATGTTTTAGGGTAGAGAAACATGGACATCCCATAGGACGCATAATACAAAGTGCAGACTGAGAACAAAGAGAGAGAAGTGGATCTTTCAAGGCCTTCTGGAAGGATACTTGTGTCCGTTTTGTCGCCCTTCAGCGTCGTGGCATTTCATCCGTCGTCCCCAGCCGCACTCAAGTTTCTGGTGCCGGAAAACGAAACGACACAACAGCAGCTCCCAGCTGGCCGAGCTCCGTCTTGTGAAAAGTAGGGATTTCCTAGTGATACAGATCTTCAAAAGGGGCTTAAATCCTACATGTAGGACTCGGGAAATGAGCGGGCCAAGTTCCATGCGTGTACCTACAACAGGGCTTGGCCACTGTCGTCTTCAGGTTTCTAACCACATGGGAAAAAATCAACACTGTCCTGAGAAGAAGTGGCGGGAGAATAATCCACAGAATCATCTGGGAGTCAGACCATCTTTCAGCTGTGCAGCTCCCTCTAGCTCCGAGCTCAGATTCAGCAGAGCAGACTCCAGCTGCAGACCGGAAAGATCCACATGACCCTGCAGGCCTGGGCCCTTAGGGCACCCAGAGGAGGTAGAGCTGAGCTTGCATTTCCTGTAGCCAAATCTGCCATCCTGAGAGCAGGCGGATCGGCGTCACGTTGGTCGAGGCTGCCAGCTGCTCTGGGAGAAAGTGCAGTCGCACTCACACAGGTGCGGGGGCACCTACTATGGATGGGATTTTCCAAGAAACAGATCAGTCAGGTAGTTTAATCTATGTGAAAGGAGCTACATGGGGGGAGATTCCTAATGACCAATAAACAGCCGGACTCTAGGTTGGCCATCCATCACAATTCATGTAAATTCATGTAAATTCAGCTGGGTGCTGACTGAATTCTGTGGCAGGTGATTGATGGAAACAGAGGGATTGTTCTTGCTTGTGGCTCCCTCGGTGGGGGGGGCGTCCTTTGCACATAAGGATGGAAACTCTTCATGTAGACCTCACTCATCTCACCAGGAAGTTCTGAAACCTTCCTGACATCTGTTTTCAGGTGCACAAAGTCGTACTGTGACTAACAGCCTCTGTTCTTGGAGACCCTGAAGGGGAGCGAAGGATTTTTTTCTGGCTTTCTTCACTTTATTTTTTGCTTTTTAAATAAATGTCACTTTCTTTGTATTTTTTTTTCCCTTTGGGAAGAGGGAGAAGAAAACGCCCCCTTGGATGCACCATTTTTAAAAAGGTTAATGCTGTTTGTGGGCGCAGTGAGGCAGACATGCCCGCATTAGACAGACATGCCCACTAGCAGTGCCATGCCTCGCCTCGCCTTTGATTACATGACGCCAAGTGGCTGCCAACGAATGGGAGACGCCGTTGATCTTGTCAGCAGATGTCACGCACTGCATCACAAGAGACCTCAGCTAAATCAGGACGACAGAAATGCGAGCTCGTCTTCTGGGCGGCTTGAAAACCCACGGACCACAGCGTGAAGGCACCATAATGACCTCCCAACATTCCGAATGTTGCCTGTGGCTTCTTAGGTTGTGTTTTGTCCTTTTGTTTCCCTTTGTTGAGCTTTTTGGACGAAGCGGGAGGCAGCTGAGGAGAATGAATCAATAAGTGACTGCACTGTAACTGCAGTGAAAATGTCAGTAGGTACCTGAGTGTTCATCCTGTGATCAAAATGGCCTCGCTGTGTTTTTGTTAGTTTAATTGGACGCCGCATTTCCTACACTCACCTCTTTTTTTCCCCCTGAACTACATTTTGAGCAGGAATGCAGTACATCCATTGGATCTGTGCAGCTTCGCCTTCAGTTGGATTTCAAGCAGTTGTCATGAAGATCTAAGGTGGCTAATTTTACCCATGATCCTTTCAACTAAAAGCTAATAGGAAGAACAAGCAGCACAGCAGATACTTTACTTGAGGGGCACAAATACTTAGTAGTAACTCAGTTACTACTGAAGTACAAATCATGAACAAATGTAGTAGCTGCTTGATATAAAACATGCATCATGAATCATTAATGATGAACAAACATGAGATCAATATTTCACGTTATTCATTAATTGTACCTTCAGTAGTCCCTTCAATAGTTCACAAAGGGTTTCAGGACTAAGATATAGTAACAAATATAGTAACTGATTGGGATGAAAGATGCATCACAATTCATTATTGATGAACAAACATGAGAACAGTATTTCACTTCTGTTATTCATTACGTTCCTTCAGTAGTTCACAAAGATTTGCAGAATTAATTGAAATGGTAACAAATATAGTAATTGCTGAAGATAAAAGATGCATCAGGGTTCATCAATAATGGACGAATATGAGATCAGTATGTAACTAAGATTTAGTTAATGGTTAATTAATACATTATTAATACCTTAATACCACATTATATGATTATATGTGCCCCCTCAGAGTGTTAGTAATGTTACTGAACACATATTTTGTAGCATTCGTATCATGGGGCTGATGCAGTCAGATTGTGCCTTTTTGTGACGCTTTATGGCTGTCGCTGCGAATTTGGCGAAAACCTCCGCTACGCTGGCCTGACCGGCAGGAAGTGCCTTCCCACTTCATTCCTCTTCCCCACGACCCCCCAGGCATGCAGAGTAGGGCTTTGGCAGCCAGGTCATGAGACAGAGCACCTCCGAGCCCTAGACGGGGCCCACGGTAACAAGGGTGGCTTCCTTGGTTAACCTGTAAGGACACCACAGGGACTCCCATAAGAATGCTGTTTGCCGCCATGGAAACGAGAGCTTCCTGTTCCCTAGGTTCTCCAGACAGCAATGCAAAGTGCATGGGACACGACTTAATTTCCTTAATTGTCTTACGTCGTAGTATAATAAGATTTATACTGGATCTGTGAAATGTCTTGTGAATAACAGTATATGGGGAAAATAGTACTCTTACCAACATCTGTATTGCAAATATTGCAAACTGTATTATATAAACATCAATGTGTTTTCTGTATGTGTGCTTTTTATCTTATGTACAGATATAAAGTGAGGCATGTGTCCTTAAGGAGCAGTGTGCACATGGAAATAGATTTTTCTATTATGTTTCCCAGACTAGGCTTCTGCAAAGCTGGGGGGGGGGGGGTCTGTTATTGAAAGCTCTGCTGTGTTGGAAACTGAAATTGGTGTGTCTGTGACAGTGACAGTCACCTTAGATCATCGGTCCCTTGAGTTTTGTGGTGGACCACAATGAAATCCAGTGCTTTTAGCAGTGACAAAATAGTACAGAACTGTGGGCATCTACTGCCTTTAAACGGAGATCACGGAGGTGCAGTTTGTGAGGTAACATATTTATGAGTCTGTGTCCTGGAGAATGGTATATTAAACATTCATTGCCATCTATCCTTTATTTAAAATCCACTTGCCATGATCAGATCCAAAATTCCAGTTTATATATATGTATATATTGCATTGCCTCACCCCCCCTGAACACGACTCGAAACCTAAGCGCGGACTTAAATTCTTATTGCCTCCTTGTCATTTTTAAGGCCAATGTCGTAACCTTTCCTCTCCAGTGGTTCATAACATTTCACGCCCCCGCGGTTCACCTTGGGAAGTTCATTTGTCCTGACATGGAAAAAAAAAATGCTGTTCTGCTAGGCTCAAATCAAAGTAGCATTAAATATCTTCCTACTGTTCCTATACTTGATAAGTAGGGTGTTGCACTAAGCTTTAAGCTATGGAGAGGAATCATTTTGGATTGTTTTATTGGCCCTTACTGGTGAAACACACCTTCTATTACACTTTGTGTAATTTTTACAGGACAAGGCTTCAAAGTGCAGCTTCATAGGCAAGAACTCAGATACTCATATCCCAACAGGACAGTTCATTGTGTACCCACTCTGAATGATGTTTTTGATGTTTAGAGATTGTGTTTAGCATAACTGACAAAAAAGCCTAACTGAACTGTGAGTACATGTAACATTCATTTTCACTTTAATAAGAAGTTGCCAATTATGATGAAAGGATAGGCCTTAAAAGATGAAAGAAAATCTTTCGCTGAATTGACCAAATATTGGGTGGGGGGGACAAAAGGGAGGGCCCCAAGGTCCATATTTTTGCTCCCTACTGAGACCAAGGAGGGAGCAAAAACATGTACTGGCTGGAGGTCCCCGAGGGCGGGGTTGGGAATCACTGTTTTAGACCTTGGAGTTGGCGTAATATCAGCTGGACTTTAATGAATGAAGGAAAAAGAGTGGGAGAGAGGAGAAGAGGAGTAGAAGGAGAGAAAAAAGGAGAGAGAAATGAGAGACAGCTTATGGATGTCCCATGAACGTGGATCTGTTCCATTAAAAATAATTCTACAGTGTGTCTCTGTCTTTCACCAAATGTTTCCACTGCTTGGGCTCCTTGCCTGAAGCCCTGCGGGTCTGCAGCGCGTTTATTGGCCTGTGTAGGTAACAGCATGTTCGAAAAGAGGCGGGTGGCTCAGGGGGGCCGCAGGGGGAGTGAGGTTAGCACAGCAGCAGCTCGTCACCTCGCGCTACACAGCGGTGGCAGCTATGCGTGACCATTCGTCAGGCCCTAAATGCAGGTGGGGATTAAATCACTCCAGGCTTAGGAAAATATTCCATGCAAACATAGTGTTCAAAGTTCATTTAGCATGTGCATATTTCTTGCTATGGGGGTGCTTAGCCTGCTGGGTTGTTTTCGGGAATGCAAAGTAACCGCCAGCCTTCCGTATGTAGGCTCCACGTGGGCAAGAACGACGTGCTGACCTTCTACGACGGCGACGACCTGACGGCCAAGGTGCTGGGCCAGTACGCCGGGTCCCGGCCACGTTTCAAACTCTACACCTCCATGGCTGACGTCATCATCCAGTTCCAGTCCGACCCAGCCACCAACGTCTTCGGCTACCACAACGGATTCGTCATACACTTCTTTGGTATGGTGTATCTGGGAACGGGGGGGCGGGGGGGAAAAGCTCAGCCTGAACTGCTGAACATCACCCACGGCCCCTCCTGGCCGGGCTGTGTGTAGAACTGTCAAAAGTGCTAATTAAACCTGAAGCGTTTTTAATTAGCCTCTTGTCACAGGGCTGACCAAGAGTATGGCAGACACGTTCCCCACAAACTGAATGGGCACGGGGGCAAATTAATTCATCGTAGGGATGTGTGGAGGGTGGGGCCGCCATTGCCACGGAGGTCATGGTGGAAAAGAGCTGGGGACCCTTTGTGGGATTGGGAGGTGGGAAAAGGTGGCTTTTGTAGCAGGGGGAAGTTCTAGTTCTGGTTCTGGTTCTCCGCTTTCTGTGCCGGGGTCCCTTGGACCGGTGACAAAACATTCAGTCAGGAGAGCAACTGGCGCTGAGTTGCAAAATAAAGAACGGGAAAGAATATCAGATAATGTGAAATGATTCCGCGTGGGATGAGAGAGTGAGAAACGGGAGCAGAATGCAGAGCCAGCGGGTGGCTGGGTGGGGGGGGGGGGGGGGGGGGGGGGGGGGGGGGGGCAGGTGTTTATCAGTCCATTCACGGCATGCACAAAAGCCCAGCCGCCCCGCGTAGGCACACCTATCAGGAGTGCAAACACAATTACGCCGTGCGTTTGTCTGTATTAGCTGCGTTTGTCGCACGCCGCGCGCCCCCCCTGCCAGATCGGAGACGGCGACTGGCTCTGCCAAACCACCTGGCAGCCTTGCTGCTGCACCACAGAAAAAAAAAAACAAGCCACCCTTTTGATTAGCTCGAGGTTAATTTAAGCGCAGGATGTGTTCAAGGGCTGCGCAGCCCATGTGGATCCGTGCCGGGGCCTTGAGCCCAGCAGGCAGGCCACTAGGAGTCCTGCGGACTTGACGCACAGGCACCCTGCATCACCGTACTCTGGTTCCTCAGATTTTCATGGATGAAGATTCGAAAAAATCTGGATACGGTGTCATGTTTTGTCGATAAGTTTCTCATAACCGTACATAGCATGTGTCAAACTGCTATATTTTAGGTGTAAATTATATCTTAGCGTGGGATGGTGAAGCACTGGATGGGAATTTCATGCCAGGCCTGACTAAGAACACTTCTGATGCCATCTTTCCACTGTTGCCTCTTCTCTCCCACCCATGTGACTGTCACTGCCACAGAGGTCCCCCGCAATGACACATGTCCTGAGCTCCCGGAGATCACCAACGGCTGGAAGAGCACCTCACACCCCGAGCTCATACACGGCACGGTGGTCACCTACCAGTGCTACCCCGGATTCGAGCTGCAGGGCACGGAGATTCTCATGTGCCAGTGGGACCTGACGTGGAGTGGCGACTTGCCCAGCTGTGAGAAAGGTGAGGGCTGCCCTCAGTACCCCCCCCCCCCACCCCCCCACGGACGCTGTCGCCATTGTCTTAGCCGTCAACCTTGCCACCAAGGAAATTATAGGAGCAAAACATGATTTGGAACAATGTGGCTCTTTCAAATGCTTCACATTCACTTCTCCCTTACAGTCATAACCAAGGACACTGAAGGACAGAGAAGGGGCTTGTGGGTAATTATTTGAATTCTGTGGCAGGCTGCGGTGATGAGGACGTCATTTCAATTCAGACTTGGGCAGCATTTTATTCCTGGTCCCCGAACACGACGAGAGCCTTTGTTGAGCTGTTTCTACAAGTCCCATTTCCCCGGCTTGTCATTCAAAAGAATGGGTGGTGGGGGGGGGGGTTGAGGGATTGGTCCTACCGCCTTAGACATTGTTTCACTTCATTCATCCTAGGCTGTCGTTGAAAGCCTGAAGGCACACAAAGCATTTCATTAAAACCGAATTCGAAGGCGGCCTAACCGGTTTCCGTGAATCGCGCTTTCCCCGCCATTCTGTTCGGATTGATTATGATCCTCGGTTGCCGCTTGCTGCCAGATTGACATGTGCAGGGGTCGCACAACACCAGCAGGACTGTGCCTGTGCCATAATCACAAGGCTCCGATTCGATATGGCGTATCCTCCATCCAGCATTGTTACAGATCTGGCTTCTCTCCTGGCTTGGGGTGCTGCCGCTACAAGCGACCCAGCACCAGCTCCAATTCCCATGCTAAGAGGGCTGTTAAGTGCCCCTGATTTCTGCAACACGGAGGGCAGGGTCCCATGCCGGAACTTATCTGTCTTGAAGGCAGGGGGGTGGGCTCAGTGAGCAAGGGGTGGCTCATGGGATATGTGCTAGGAAGGATTAGCGATGAGGCGAACGGGATCCATGTAAAGAGGGGGCTAACGATGAGATCCACAAAGCACTGCGGTTAACACTGAGGATTACTGGATGTGAAGTGTAGAGGGCTGAGGATTCTGGGATACGATCAGGAATTTGAGGCACGTGTGGCGCTTACACAGGGTAGTTTACCACTGTGGCTGAAGTGTCGCCATCAGGCTCATGATCTAGAGAGAGGAGGTTAAGCTCCTTTCACGTGACCTCCCTCCCAAGGAACACCGGGATGCACAATATGATTGCAGGAACACCTCGATATAAAGAGCTATTTTATATATTTAACAAAAAAGGTAATGTCATAATGGAGATTGTGTATGGTGTGCGTGGTCTTTCTTGCAAGCCCCTTGGCTGATATTTCCAGACTGTTGCATCCTAGTGAAACGGATGGGAGGTGGTGTGGACCGCAAGTGGTAGCGAGACTGACAAGGCTAAAGGAAGGAATTCTGGGGGGGCGGTCCTCTTTTTTTTCCCCCCATTTGAGTGTTTTATAACAGTGCCATTCTAATTTCTGTCAAAACAACAGTTACGCTACATTTAACAAGCAGACTTTTAAAATCAAAACATTAATGAAAAACCGTAAATCACTTGGGCAGAGCTAATTACTCTGCTGGAAATGTGACTTGCTGATATGCTGCTCCGTCTCCCTGTGCTAAAAAAATAGGCTCAAAGGCCACCTACTGGTGAGGAGGAGCACTGCAACCAGGACAACACGTTCATAGGGTCTGCTTAAAAAAAAATCTACATTTTAGAATTAAATGATAAAATGGAAATATGGAAGAGGCAATGGCAGGGCAGGGTTCCGGGAACAGTGCAATTATGGGGTTGTCAGCTCACAAGCGAACGTTGTATGGAGTAATGGAATCTCCATCAAATCCCCGAGGCTTGTATTTCTACCTGTGGCCTCCTGACCTCTATCCACACCCAGCCACATTAAATACATTACAGAATGTGCAGCTACGTTTCATTTACAAACCTGTAAACTAAAGGGGGCAGTGTGTAGCCCAGCGAGTTAGGACTGTGTCTATGATCGGAAGGTTGTCGATTCACATCCCATAGATGTTGCTGCTGGGCCCTAGAGCAAGGCCCTTAACCCCTGTGGCTCCAGGAGCTGACTCACACTACTCTTTCAATGTTACATCGCTTAGGATGTAAAAATTGTACTGTAAAGAAAAATAGCTAGATTTAATAGCTAGACCTGGGTTTTTGGATGGTCACTGTGCTATGAGCTTTTGAGTGTAAGCAATGTAAAATCATAAAAAGGATATACAGGGTGGAGTGGTATGATGGAAGATGACCATGCGCTCTTACAGCCAGTGTTGGGGAAGTGAGTTACAAAAGTAATCAATTTCAGTCAGAGATGTAAAGTTCAGGTCCAGAAAGTAAATCCAGACCACTTGAGTACTCTGTGACTGTGACTCTTTATACTCAACTGGTTGGTTGAAACAAAATCTTGGTCTGGATTTGTACTTTCTGGACCTGACCTTTCCACCTCTGTCTGTAATGGATTATGTTTGTGAGTAACTTCCCCAACACTGGGTGCATCCATGGATATGGTTCTGACAAATCCTTATTTCTCTGTGCGCAGTGAGGCTGTGTGCAGACCCCGGCAACGTGGAGCACAGCCGCCGGATAACGTCAGGCCCCCGGCTATCGGTGGGCTCCACGGTGCAGTACGTCTGCAACAAGGGCTACATGCTATCTGGCAATAGTCTGCTAACCTGCCACAACCACAACTCCGCTGGGCCCAGGTGGAGCAAGACTCCACCCAAGTGTGTCCGTGAGTGTCTCCAGAACCACACACGTGCAGAAGCAACAAAGACGGTCAATAAGTAGCCAGTCGATGCACATGGGCAGCCAAGAAACTCGTCAAGATGAAAGTCAGGTGCTGTGCGCAAAAAACACTCCCACCTGCTGGCCATTTCAAAAATAACATCCTGTATCAGCCCAGTAAAAGCAATACTGCTAGGAATGTGGCCAGCATTACTGTGTCCAGTAGTATGTGAACCCCGAGCATTATGTCCTGTGCTGTGAAACGATTTTTTGTATCAATAAAAAGAGCTTCCTTGCTAAACAGCGCGATGGATAACCCTATGCAGTTTAAGATTAGTGGTCTGTTAAAAAATGCTAAATTATGGATAACAATGCACATTGTCAGTTTCTTTTATTTGATGACTGGAACCTATTGTTTAAACAGGAAATTGGTCCACTACCTCTTCCTCTTGTGATGCTAATTATTTGTTTTAAACCTTCAGCCTTATCTGCCGTAGCTGAAGGAATGCGAATGCAAGCCTAGGGAACTAAGGAAAATGTGAGATTAGCAGCCTGGATGTGTGCCCTTTAATTCCTTGGAGTTCTATCATAATAAAAGTTCTAGGATCCATTACGCCTGTGTGACTAACACACGCTTGGAGTCTGCAGTACCTCAGGTTCCCCCACATACAACCTCCCCACACGATCACCTGCACTTTCAGCCAAAGGTCACGGCCCTGCTTTCCGTCCGTGATCCCGCCTCTTTAGAAGCGCCTTCCTCTAAACCACTGTATCTCAGCTCATGGGTCATGACCCAATAGAATATTGGATTTTCTTTTCTCACGTCAGCAGGGATGGATCTACAGCTTGGCCATGCCCCCCCCCCCCCCCCAAATACACCCCTCACCAGAAAATGAAAACAAAACATGCAGGATTTAACTCTGCAAACTAGAGCTACCCAACCAAATCGATTGAAAGATGATTAATGGATAATGCCCACAATCTTCAGAATATACCGAGGGGGACACTCTGCCTGCCCCCCCGGTCGGCAAAATATTGTCCTAGTATAATCACTGGGTCTAGTCTGGCCACCCCATTGTGCAAGGTCTGGCTACGCACTTTTTTTGTTTTTTAACAGTGCATGCAGGCCCTTCATGTACATCCTATTTACTAAAAATTATTTTTTTGTGAAATAAATTTAGTAAAAAAAAATTTTTATTTAGTTATTATATAACTGATTTAGTTAAGATATAATGACCCAGGAAAAATGTGGTTCCTGGGGCTAAAGCAGTTAGCCTAAACAGTATTTTAGAGTCTCAGAATAATCATATTTATTTCCAGTATAGTTGTGGCTGGATATTAGTCCAGCAAAAGTGTTTCTGTGCAATAATCCTGTGCCTTAGGCTGAGCCAGTCGCCCAGTAACGCCCCCCCGCCCCCGCCTGTGTGTCTGGCCCACAGCCGAGACCTACGACACCTGCAAAAACCCCGGCACCCCCCCATTCAGCATCCAGAGCCAAGAAAAGCCCTTTTACCAGGCTGGGGAGACGCTGCGCTTCACCTGCCTTACCGGCTATGAGCTGCAGGGGGAGCCGGCTCTCTGCTGTGTCCCCGGACACCCTTCACGGTGGAGTCACCCGCCTCCTGTCTGCCAGGGTAGGATCTGCAAGCCTTTCAAGAACCACTTCACCTGTATACTTCCCAGTGTATGTTTTACAGCAGCATAACCTTAAATGTGTTAAACTGAAATAAAATTGTAGTAAATGCACACATTCCCAGCATTAGCTGTATTTGTTAGGCCAGTGAAGTGTAGCAGTGCTCTTGCTTTGCCGAGGGTCTGTCCTACTTCCCAGCATAACCAGTGTGTTCCCGGCCCTTCACAGCCTCCGCCGTGGAGTACTCCAAGCGCCGCATAGATGGTGAGTGCCAACATCAGCGTTAAAAATTATAATAAAAAAAAAACCCTTTCCACCTCTGTTTGGAAGGGCTGAGAAGGCTGCCCTTGGATCCTTTATGGAAAATTTGGAGGGTGAAGAAGGGTAGTTAAGAAGCACAAATGTTGTCTCTGGGTCAAGTAGTGCTCTCAGTTGTACGCTACAAGTACGCTTCAGTTCCCCACGTAATTGCATGATGGGAATGATGTATCGTTTTACCTGGTGGGCCTTGGAGTGCGATTCTGATTCCCTCACCGCTAAGTGTCTTTATGATTATGATCCTAACAGATTATTTTTTTCTTGCCCAGTTGCCGGTGCCGACTTCAGTATAGAAGGAATAAGCATAGCAGTGGCGGTCTTCATCCCCGTCGCGATCATCCTGGCTCTGATCTTCGGGATTTACCTGTACTTCTCCAAGTAAGCTGATCTTGAGACAGAACATTCTGGTGTGTCTACACAGAGAGGTGTTTGTGCCAGGATCATCAGTGTAACACCCCCTCACATCCATTAAACCTCACGTGCCAACATTGATCACTTTAACACCGGTCACTAGGGTGACCACCTAATCCATGTCAGGAGGGACACTATGAGCTACAACAGGATTTGTAAACTACCATTTCATACATTTCAATTAAAAGGACCAGGATTTCACTTAAGCACTGGGTTCTTGCCGTATGCTGATTGGTCAGTCTCCTATAATCATGCATATGTGTCAGTAATGTTAATGCGAAACAGCTGGATGAGTCTTTCAATCTCGGAACTAACCAAACATTTTAGCAGAGCACAGAACCCTTTCAGCTTTAAAGTAGTTCGTAAAAGCTGAAGTAGCTCATAGTGTCCCTCCTGACATGGATTAGGTGGTCACCCTACCGGTCACTTTAACACCAGACACTTTAACACTGGACAGTTCGACTGAATATCCTTTTTGAATATGTTTGTTCAATATATTTTTATACCCTTCTTGCCATGTGATATTTGTCTATTCATCTATTTTGTGTCTGTTATGAGCGTTCAGTCTAGAGGGAACAGCAATTAATATTTTTATGTATGCAAATAAACTAAACCAGGGTTCTCCGATTCCAGTCTTGGAGGGCCAGTCTGCAGCACAGTTTACAAATCCCCCTTCTGAAACTCACCTGCTAAACCTGCCAATTGGCTGGTGAGCTGAGTAAGGTGTGTTTGAGCAGGAGAAATATGCAAACTGGGTTGACACTGGCCCTCCAGGACCGGAATTGGGGAAGCCTGCACTAAAAAATGAGAATAAAGAAATCTAATCTAAACAGTCTGTGTCTTTTTGTTCTCAGAGTACAAGGGAAGTCCTTCCTCCAACCCATGTCCAGCTCTGTGCCATATAACCACATCACGCCAGATTTCGCTTCCAGAGTCCGCAGCTATGACAACGGAGTAAGTACCAATGCCATTGGATTCTGCTGCCACCATGAGTATCATTGTATCTTTGTATCTTCAGCTAACCTTTCAAATACTCAAAACTGACCTGCTTTTAATACCTTACCCGATGTCATACATTCATATACCATACACTGTGGTCCATCGTCACGACAACAGAAGAATTCTGACTCTGGCAGTGATGTTGCTTACATTACAATCTGTGTGCCTTATCCAAATTAGCCGAGTCAGCATACCAACTACCACTTAAGTACTGTGTATTTTTGAGTCTGTCCTGTTGTTTTCATTTGTTAAACGCAGTGTGTACAAATGGAACGTTAAAGAAACGAGGTGCATTTTGTACCCGTCATAACACTAAAGCAGCATTAATACAAGGAGATGAGCTTTGGATGTATGGTTTAGAAAAAACAGTGGCGTTTGCCTTTGACTGTGGTGTTTGACTAAGTGCTGTTTGCTTTAGCTGCAGAAGTTTGAATGTAATTTAAATTGTATAAAGAACATTTCTCAGTAAGGCTTGAATACATACAGGTGAACTGGCTATAAATTATACATGTAGGTACATATATGTATTTAACTAAAATTATACAAATTCTATATTTATATAGAACACTATATATGCATTATTTATACATATATTAAATATTTCTTGGTTTTGTTTTCCTCTGGGACTGGGATTCGAGTATCCGTCCTGGGTCCTTGTGTGTAGAGTTTGCATATTCTGGGGTCTTGGGCTTTCTCTCAGGTATTCCGGTTTGTCCCCAACAGTCCATAAACTTGCTAAAGTGGATTGGAGTTGCCAGACTTTCCGTAAGTGTGCTTGTGTGAGTGAATGCTGTGTGCGTCCTGTGATGGGTTGGCGCCACGTCCCGGGTTATTCCCTGCCTTGTACCCATGACTTCCAGGATAGGTTCCAAACCCCCATGACCCTGCAGAGAACAAGTGGGTGTAGAAGATGGTTTGAGACCTACTGGCCTGGAACTTTACCAGATAGAACTAAGTCAGGTTGAATGAATGAATGGTTTTGTGACGTAATATAGTAATATCCACTGCTAAGCTAAGGGGGCATTTCTCTATAAATTGACAGTCTTTGTATCATAATATGTATCCCCTAAACACTGTACACTACTCACAGTGCACAGATGAATATCCCCCATGAAGAGCGCGTTTCTTAAGCTCCATACTACAAAGGCAGCCTGTGGGCCTCCCTGTCCTTCGCCAGTTATGCTCAGGTGTTCCCATCGCTGTCCACACCTGTGCAGGAATTACGCTCTCGAATCGCCATCTGTTGCCGCCACATTGCCGGTTCACCTCGCAAACTCCACTTAGCTGCAAAGCGGCAGGCCGGAAGCCTGAGTATTCTCGAAGGGGAGTCGCAGCTCCACGCGTACGCTTAAATCCACACCAGAGCCAGCGCTGTCTGTGTCACGCCGCTCGGTGCACTGATGGTTCTGCGTTTGCTAATGATCTAAGATGATTGAGGCACTGCTTTCATATTTGTGATTTAGGATTGACTTGCAATATAAGGTCAGGTTATTGTCAAGCCCCCAGGTACTGTACAAAAACCTCATCTAAAGGGCACCCACTGTGTTTGTCTCGCTCTCCCTGATTCCATGTGCTCCGGTGGACACCGTTATGACCGGACCCCTGTCCCCTCTCCACTCCCATCAGCCCCGGCTCGTGATCTCTGATTACTAACGGCTGTGTCTGTCTGTCCCACTGCGGCTGCATCCCTGAAGAACCACGAGGTAAGGCCACCACTCTGCTTCCCGCACTGTGTCTTCCCAGCTCAGAATTGGTACGCAGTAAATCAAAGGCCATCAAGCACCTTCTGGCCTATAGCACACCTATATCTTGGGGACTAATAGAATGCCAGTGGGTCATACGCAACAACAGGGCGTGGGTGGGGGGGGGGCGGCAGGGGGGCATTCACAGGTTCTGTAGATACATCTCATTCAGGAAAGAAGAAGACCTAGCAAGGTCACGTGGAGCTGTTATGTTCATTTACCAAATTGAGCCTGTTCAAGATTTAAGCCAGAAACTCCTTTGTCCTTCAAAGGAGTAAAGCAGTCCTGTTTTTTATTAAACATTTGCTAAAGGAAACTGTTGTAAGGAACCCTCATTGTGGGATTGACTCCTGCCATTATGGGTAAACGGACCTTTGGCAGCTGCAGTTGTAGATAATGGGTCCCCTGACAATAAAATATTGCGTTTGTTGGGGGGGGATCAACAGACTCAACGCAACTTCAAATTTTGACATCTCCCCCCCCCATCAGTTGCTAATTTTATCTAATTAAGATGTGTTAAATCTGCCAATTTCGTGACCGCTCTTGTAAATATTGCACAGTTGGCTTTCAAGGTCATGAACCTTGGAGTAACCTGTGCAAGTGAATCCTTCAGAGATGAGTGTGAACCTTTACGTTCTGTGGTCTCTGGAGGGAAGCTAACTTTCCAAAAAGTGATGACGGTTTGAATATGGGCTGAGCTCCTGTGTTTTGTCACATCTGTCATGGTCTGGCTTTTAAAGCATTCATCTACAAAAACTTTAAATTGCTGTCCTTTTTCACAGCCGTAGTCTATTTTTTGCCACTGTCGAATTTTCATGGCAAATTAATCTGTACTGTGCACAAACATTGCGCTTGTAACAAAGCATGAAACTGTCCTTGCTGCTGTCCTTACAAAGTATATGTTTGGCTTTTGCAGGAAACCAGAGAATACGAGGTTTCCATTTAGAGACACGAAGCATTTCAGCATGGGGGAAATCAAGCCATTTTTGCCTTGTGGGAATTGGTCTGCACCATTCATCTCTCCTGTGACTCCTCCAGTACCTCCTCTTTCCATTCTTCTTCACGTCTCCTGTCTCCTGATGTATATATTATTATTTTCAGAGGACTTCATGCAAGCACTGCAAAGGATGTGAAAGACACAGTGTTATTTTTGTAGAGCTCGTTACCAATGGCCTAGCTGCAGTGTTTGTATATTTTCTATCCTGTGACATAGCCCAGCGGGATTAAGTACTATAATATGTCATATGGGAGGGGGGAAATGCAATTTTTTTATCTATCAATGTCAGTCAAGATACTTTGTAAAAGTTACAGGGCAACCGTGGGGAAAATATTTATTTTAAATGTTTAATTTAACTGTAGTTCACGAGATGAAGTATTTGGTGAATATTGGACAAGGAAACGATGAGCGAAAACTTGGTATTTATGGCAACTGCAGTCTTACACTTATGGTATTCAATCCAAATGTTACACGGCTGCATATCTGCAGGACCTCATCTCTCCAAGGCTTAGCGAGAACTTGCTGTTGATTTGAAAGTTCCAGTTCCTGGGAAAGTTTCAGTTACAGGTCTCCCAGCTGTGCCATCTAACTGTGGTGGAAATAAATGGAAAAAGATTTGTAAATCACTTGCGCAATACCAATTAGAGACAGGTCTCAGCTTGTCAGTGAGTGTGCATATTTCCATGGGGACCCACAAAGAGCATTTATCGTGCTCTCTTGAGTGTCTCACTATTACTCATCCCTCAGACTTTTAGAGTGGCACAAATACCTGCCTATGGTTTCCATCTTCCCAAGGTGATAAAACTGTCAAATTTATGGGAAGAAAATAGCTATAAATTTCTGTATGAAGGGTAAGTACAGTATTCCTGCATTATTACACCCCTTGCCATTTAATGTTCAACTTTTTGCCTTGGGATTGTTTGTGCCTGTGCTGTAGGATGTTGGGTGTCAAGCTGCCAAACATTGGGATTAGCCATTACGAAAGGTAATTTGCCAGAAGGTTCTTTCAGTGTCATGTGTGACTGTGTCGAATATCGGTTTTTACATTCTAAGAGGTCCGTTGTTTGACACGACAACAAACCCTGGCTGTCAAAGCCACTGTGAACGTGGGACATAACGCCTCATGCAGGCCTCAGATTCTGGAGGAGAGTGACTTGGGCTGCCTCTCAGTAGACCTGATGTACAATCTGGAAAAAAACTGCATCTGCTTTTGGTTGTCAGTTAAGTGACCAGCTACTTCAAAAATATAGCTGTAACACCGTGCGATTGGAGCATCGAGAAAAGTGGAACCAGCTAAAGGTAGATTAAACATCAGAGGAAATTGGGGAGTTTCAGTGAGTCCATCAAACTAAGTCAGTTCACTTATAAATATATTTATTTCCACAATTTTAATTCATGTATACTTATAGGGATTGTATAAAAGGCAATAATCAATTAACATGGCCAGATAGGGTTTCACAAATTCGCTGTGCCATTTGCACAGAATATTGTATTGTTTGTAGGAGGGTGCTTATGACATCACCACACATCTGTCTGCCTGGTGTGACTGGATAGTAAATAATGCACTATAACCACTACTGTAAGGAATGCAGTACAATTCACATCACACTGTTCATGCGATTACCTTCATACTTTGAAATAATAAACTTGTGTAAATGTATGAATTTAGCTACAAATCTTGCCTCCCCCCCCCAAACTCTTGGATAATGTCTGCCAGAACTTAAAAAGATTATTACCTGGAGTGGTGAGATTTATTACATCAGCTGGGATGTTCTGGAACTTTACCAGATAGAACAATGTACAGCCCTGGATACCGGAAGGAACTGGGTGGATTTTGCCCATTTTAAACATCCTTCTTTAAAGTCTTTATAAACACTGATATGGAAAAAATCCCTAACAGTGAAATTAATAGTCAGTTGACCTCCACACTCACAAAATAGCAGGACGTGTTTTTTTGTTTTTGTTTTTTTACAGAATCCCACCCATAATATATAATGATGCCGTTCAAATTAAGATTAACACATAGTGTTTCTGCCTGCTGATGACACCTTGTTGGAAGCAAGTCATTTTTTGCTACCTTGCATGAGGGTTGTGGAGATATATATAATTTATAGGAGGATGATACGGTAGTATAAAAATGTACAAAAAAATAACCTGGCATAAGGAATAAGGAAGAAGACAATGTCATAAGACCAAGGGGGACAAGCATGAAATGAGAATGAATTTTGGTCACTTTACTTGAGGGGACATGAATAATGTAGTAGTATATGCTTACTTAATGCATTAATTAACCAGTAACTAAGTGTTAGTTTGGTACTGATTCTATGTTTGTTCATCAATCAACCATGACAGTTCATGTATTCATTCAGACACTATGCTTACAGTTAATTAATTAGTTAATAATGGTAAGACCACTTGAGGGGATAAAAAAATAACTCATTTACTACTCAAGAACAAATCGAACTAATATAGGTTATCCCATGAAATACATGAACTGTCATGATTGATTAATGATGAACAAGCATGGGATCAGTACATAACCAGCAGTTACTGGTTAATTAATACATTAAGTACGCATGTACTACTACATTATTCATGTCCCCTCAAGTAAAGTGTTACCTGAATTTTATACAGGTAAGCAGTACTGGCAAGAAAGCAAGAATAGCTCTGGGCTGACTCCATTTTAAACACTTCTGTGAGAAATGTGAAAACCTATACTAATTTCCCCCCATTATCAGCAGAACTTCAGTTATTCGTTTTTGTTTTTATTTGTCAGAATTTTGAAGTATTTTCAGGCCAGAAACCAGAGGACACTGAAAATCTGTGCACATTTCACAGTTACTTGACCATTCCAAGAGTAGTTTATAGTAATGGTAATACGGTAAAATGTAATATCCATATCTATTGTTTTGTATGTTCTTGCAAGCAAATTCTGATTTTAATGGTATCATATCAATGTATAGGAAACATATGTGGTAAATAAGCTTAAACAATAACTGATGAGAGGTGACAATACGGTTTAAATAGTATTGCTTTCTGAATAAATCAAAACCTGATGTTTGTTTTATTATGTGTGCTTTAAATGTAGCCACAGAAATACATTGGTTATTGTAAACCCTTCAAATAACTTCATGTCACCCAGATGTAATTCTGGAACAGGAACATCCATATCTTTTTCTCTTGCTGTTTTGCTTCTAATGCAATGTTTGTTTAATTCAGCGATTAAATCAGTGATGCAAGAGCATCAGTCTTTTTTTTTTTTTTTTTTTTACTCGTTCATTTTTACCTTCTCGCTTCTGTTTAGCACTGATACAACAGAAGAAAATAAGATGGTGATTAAAGAAAGCAAATGACAATTATGTATATTTTTGATTCATTGTAAAATGTAAAGACTTAAACCACCTCATAGACAGATAATCTCTCAAATAAAACAAATTATTAAAAACAACTGTGATTGTCTTAAGATTTTTAAAACCATGGCTGCGTTGCGGGGGGGTAGGGGGTTCCCTATAGGTATTACAAGGCTTATATATGTTTTCCCTGGTTTGGATGCAGAATAGTCCATTTTTCTTCTTCTCCATTGTTTTATTTATTTGACAGACATTTATTTTTTCGAGAACATCGCACGGTTGAGAACAGCCTGGAAATCTGGTTTAGCATTCATGGAGTAATTGGCTTAAGGGCCTTGTTCATGGGCCCAACAGTGATGTGATACCTCTGCAAGCTACAGGATTTAAAACCCACAACATCCCAGGCATGTGCACAGAGCTACATACCCCCTCCCTACTGATTAGGTAAGGCAGCGCAGCAGTTAGGAATTTTGCCTCACACTTCTGGGACTGGAGTTTGAGTCTCTGCCCTGTTTGCATGTGTGTGGAGTTTGTATGTTCTCCCTGTGTTGTCATGGAGTTTCCTCTGGGGTCTCTGCCCACCCCCCCAACACAGTCCAAAATAATGCTATGGTGAAGTTACCAAATTGTCTGCTTATGTGAATGGTGTGTGAGCCCTACAATGGTTTGGTGCCCCATCTGGGTATTCCCTGCCTTGCACCTGTACTTTCCGGGCAGGGTGTCCAAAGCATTTTGAATGTGGGGGGACACACTGGCATAAAACTAATATTTTATGTTAAATGTGGGGGGGTCCAAACGAAAAATTATGAAATGTTAGGGGGACACGTCCCCCTCAGATTTAATGGCGGCGACGCCCATGCTTCTGGGATAGGTTCCCTACGACAAGCGGGTCCAGAAAATGGATGGGTTTATTTCAAGGTGACTTAGTGGGTTACCTGTTACCTCACACCTGCAGGGTGGAGGGTCTGAACCCAAGCCCGCCATGTGCGGAGTTTGCATGTTCTTCCCGTTGCCAGTGATGGAAGGTTCGAGTCCAGAAAGTAAAAATCCAAACCAAGGGTGTTTTCACTAATCAGTTGAACATAAAGAGTCACAGTCACAGAGTACTTTTTGTACTCTGTGACTGTGACTCTTTATGCTCAGCTGATTGGTTGAAACAAAATCTAGGTCTGGATTTTTACTTTCTGGACCTGAACTTTCCACGGGTTTCCACCTGCAGCTTAGCAAATTGGTAAATCTAAACTGCCCACTCTATGTGTATGTGTGTTGCCTGTGATGGACTGATGCCCCCCCGGCTTTCTGATATGAGCTGCAAACAGCTGGATGATGGGTGATTTTCAAAATCCATTATTATATCAGTATAGCATTTGAATGAGTTTCTTGATATATTTCTTACAAATTCATAATTGTTAACGCAGTGGTGGCCTTTCCAAGTGTGTTTAGAGCCACTGTTTTATTATTTTACCTGGAATTGTCAGTAATGTAGTTTAAAATTAATACAAAACAATAACAGATTATTGCAACAAAAGCAGTAATGCAAAACGAAACACAAGAGGTTTGCAGGGCCCTTGCTCTGATGGAGGACCCAGTAAAGAGTAGTCAGATAGTTTGATGCTGGTTTTGTACCTCAAAACTAGATTTTTTTTTTTTGTTGGAACAGAAACAGCAGTTAGAGTAATGCTGACTGGTTCATGCCAGCTGAGAACAACATTTAGAAAATCTGAGATTTCCCTTGGGGATGCTTTGACACAGGGAGCTTTACTAGAAAATGATTCCGTCTCCATTTGTTCCCAGGCTTCTAAATCTAATATGATTTAAAGTCCTGTAATAAACTCGTTCAAGATGGGTGATTATGAATACTGTCACAGACAAATATAGAAGTCTAATTGCCCATAACTTGCCCCCCAGATGTTAATTCTAATTTATATTAATCTTGCATTAATCAATGGTTGGTTCTGGATAGCTGAATTTCATATTGTGCTTTTTTTTCGCTTATTATTTTCGAACATCTAAAGTATAGTGCCATTATCAATTAATTCACGATTTACATTTTACTTTAGGAACCCTTTATGTAAATGACATGACCGTTTACACAAACTCAAAACTAAGAAAGACCACGCACAACAAGAAGCAGGATATGATTTGACATGCCGCTGCGGTAGGACATACGCAAATTAAAGCGCTCATATTCAAATATCTTATTGTGCAAGTCCTGGATCAGCTGCTTTAGCTGGAACTGCAATAACGTAGCTATTTTAATTTTGGTGAAAAATCTGCATCTGCCAGACGTCCATGAAGACCATACTAATACACCGAACCAACGTATCTGTGGATACTCTCGGCATAAATCGGTGATGGTAATATACTTTATATCCATAATAAATTTGCCATCACCAACATGGCGCACGCTACCATTACCCTTTTCTATGATGCACGTATATACAGGCAACGGTAGAAACATTTTCATTCTAATACATTAAGCACTGCTCTGTTTATGAAATTACTTAGATTCAATAAACATATATATATTGTGTACACTTAACATTAAACGTTGTCTTTTTATCATTATCATCATTTTTTATTATTGAAAAATACGCCAGCATTGACCTCACCAAGATGGCAGCAAACCAAGTCTATCCACCATTAGAGAACCGCCCATGCATAGAAGCAGCTTCGCGAGTTTGCGCCAACTCCGTAGAAAGGATGTAGCCAGCAGTGTCGGGATTGATGCACGGGTTTTCCCCCCCACACAACAATAATAATCATTATTTTGGGGTTCTGATCGTCCACGGGGGCCGAAGTTACGTTGAGGAGATTCGTAGTTGTAGCAAGGCATTCTCAGTCTGGCCGCTGCGCTTGTGATTTTTGTTTTAATTTTTGATAATTTGTTAGCCAGCATGGAGAGGAATCGCCGTGCGGATCTCAGCAGCATCTCTGCAAGCAGCTAGGTGGCTAACGGGACCCGAAACGAGAAACATGTAGGTTAGGCCTAAGCGAAGGCCTGCACGCAGCACTCTCCGGATTCCTGCGATATTTATTCCGCGATCTGTCGGCGAGGTGGGCCGCTCTCGGCTGAAGTATTTTCACGCCTAGGAGCTGTAATCCAGGCGCCTTGGTTGTCCTGTAACTTGGCTAGCTAGCTAGTCGGCTATGTAGCTAGCAGGCTACCTCTGCCAGTGAATGCTCTCGAGCTGGAAATCGGCTAGCTAGTCGGCGTTGCTAACTGTCTTCCCGACGCTCGGATTAAGCGCCACAGACCGGCTCTGTGGTGAGCGGCCGGCCGCTTTGTGGATTCCCTCCCCCCTCCAGCCCTGCCACGGCCGTCGGCGGTAGCCCTCAACAAGGATTCGCTTTTTCGAGCGGAGGATCCGACTGCCGTATGAATGTGGGACAAAATGGAGACCCCGACGATCGTGTACGACCTGGACACCTCTGGGGGCTTGATGGAGGTGAAGCACGCCGCCGCTGTTACCGGTTCACCCCGTCGCGGTACGGGTCCGAACGACTCGTCAGCGGTCAAGCTGAAGTATCCCGGGTCCGAAGCGGTGTTTGGTTACCCGGCTGTGGAGCGTAGTGACGGACCGCGCTGTTCGGGCTGATCCTATATAGCACTAAGCCACTAAGCTTTCAGTTAATGTTTGTTCGGTCTCGGGGGCATTTTCTTCAGGTCCTGCCGGGAACAGCTCATGGAAAACATGGGTCAAGGTTGACCCGGGCCGCGGGCTTTAGCATTGGCGCTTGGGGCCAGTGGATAGTTATCAGTTTAACTGGCAGTTATAGCTGCCCCTGTTCGGATGTTTAGCTGGTGGGGTTTTGGTAAATATGCTTTGGGTGGGAGGGAGCTTGAGTTTCTTTGGGCCTTTTGTGGTTTGCGGCTTGGCGAGCGAATAATGGGCGACGGTGTCGGCTCTTTCGGGGGGGTGGGGGTTAGTCTGCTCGCCGTGTGTCTAGTTCTGAACGCCTGGCTAGTCGTTGTTCGTTGTCCGGTCTGCAGCAAATCCAAACCCTGCTGGCGCCCCCGAAGTCCGAGGACGGCGAGAGAAGAAGCCGAAAGCCGGAGAAGGAGGCCCGGAGGAGCGGCAGGGCCACCAACCACGACACCTGCGACAGCTGCCGGGAGGGAGGGGACTTGCTCTGCTGCGATCACTGTCCCGCCGCTTTTCACCTACAGTGCTGGTATGCTGCCGTTTGCCTGCCTCGGGCTCTCTGCCTGGATCGCCGGTCATGTGCGTCTGTAATATTAACCAGCTCCGATCTGCATGTATGCTCCTGTTTTAAGGCAGCTGCCTGGCTCGTGCTGTGTGGCGGAGATGGCTGTTGTGCTTGAGCATTAGTAAAAGGCGGATGTCGTTCTGCATATTACTCCGTTAGACGTGCTGTGCTTATTTATGTTATTTGTGTTTGTGTGGCTCGCCGTTATTTCCAGCTGTTTTGCTAACAGCGCGCGCACCTCTACAGTTACTGGCTGTTTAAAGCGAGTGCCCGTTCGAGTAAAAAAAAAACGATTTAAAATTAAGGGGGTGGGTTGGGGGTGTTTTGTCTGGTCCGGGGGCACCTGCGGCGGGGGCATCGCCGCTGGAGCGGGGGGCTTTCCTTTCACCGCTTCTGAAGCGGATGTTAAAAATGGAGTCCTCTGTGCACCGCTGTGTTTACAATATGGCGACCTCCGTTTAAATTGTTTTATTTCCAGCGCCATTTTGCCGAAATGCTTCGGAATCGTCGGCACATGTGCGGGAATGACACATCGAGTGCACCCAAATGCGGCGTCGCTTTCTTACAAAGCCTCCAAATCTCAAATAATTAAAAAAAACATGTATATGTTTTGTGGTCGCTTTCAAGTAATTGCAAAAAAACTCATCAGGAAAGCCGCTCATCTTCATAGAAGTAATTTTTTGGCACTTGGGATTATTGTCAAAGATCTGCAGTCTGCTTTCCGGTTTCGGTTGACTAAAGTGATCGGGTTTAATACGGTCGGCGCTTATGAAAAAGAAACCGAAGTTAATTTCCCGTTATTTTACAATGACATACGTGGCTTACATGAATCTTAAGTACTATAAGAATGAATGGAGGTGGGCCAGTGACGTGTCAGCGAAAGGTGGGCGAATGTTTTAACTTTTGAATTGGCAGATTTGAAATTCAGAAAAGGGCTCGGATGTTAGTGGTGTGGGACTGTCAGTGATATAAGTCTGGCACCGTGGTGGAGGCCTTAGGGCTCATAAATCATCTTTTTTGCGGGTGTTATTCAGGGATTATCGATCGGCACAGAAAAGCTGTTGACGTCACCATCCTGTTTGAATTTCGCCAGTGGGCAAGTGACTAACAATTTACAGTCCCGTACAGCCAAAGCTGTGCTGAAGGGCTTGTCCTTTTGTTGCCAGCATTGTTGCAGATGGCTGCCATTTCTCCATGTCGAAGCTGCCGATTCGGGTTTGATAAGCTTGGTGGCTCAGGCTGAGTTGGGTGGGACAGCAGGAGACCGGGCTGACCACATGCTTACAGAAATGGCAACAATGCAGTGAACATGCAGTCGTTCTGTGCGTTGGGGATGGGTGGGGAAGGTCCCAGCAAATCAACGCATTATGTGAAGTAATGTCTTGCAGGTTTCCTGTCTGAGTAACTTTGAGCTGCTGTCTTTGTGTTGCATTCCGGTCGGTGCATTTACCCCAACCGTGTTTTATGCATTTTTTTTTTCTGCGTTCTGAGGAAACCCAGTCAGCATTTTGTCATTCCTCCATTCACCGTTTCCCTTGCTTGGCACTGCCGCTCTGCATTGGCACCAAGGCCAGAGTAGGAGCGTGCATACTGCAGAGTGCCCCTCGCCCTGCGTACGTTGGCTTTGATCTGTAGTACTACCGTGAACCGAGAGAGTGAGATCTTGCCCAGAGGCTATCATTGCCATGCCTGGCAGGGCTCTTTTGTGATGGACTTGTTTGTTTTTGCTCCTCCTTTGTCAGCTTCTGGCACGCTAGATCTCCACATTAACTCCGCGCCGTGTGAAAACAGCTCCCAGCCAGGCACGTTATACCGAACCTCTCGCCTGGCAGAAGACGTAGCAGACGTGCAGTCGGTCTGACGACTGCTGTGCACTTGTCTTCACCAGCTCATTGAGTTTGACTCAAGTTACTACATTTTTTTTTTGGAACAGATTTGTGTTCACAAACTGCAAAGTCCGACATTGGTTTTCTCTGTCATTTTTAGTTTGTTTGCTGTCTGTGTTTTCATGATGTAATTGTGAGTAGGATTTCAGGGCTTTCCTGCAAGACCTTGAGAGTATTTTAGCTATGTGCACTCTCACTGGCTTGCGTGTTGCCTCTGAGGGTGTGTGGGCTCCCCTGAAGCCGCTGCTGCTGGTCTGCATGTCTTTGCTCTAAAGTGTTTTTTGGCTTCAGATCACGGAATTCTGGGGTTACGTTTCAACCTGTCCTGGAGGCACGTGAAATATGCTTTGAAGACCGTAACAAAGATTCCTTTGTTTTGTGACCCTACTCCTGTGCTCTCCCATGAAGCGAAGCCTTAACTTAACTGGCTGCACATAGGGATATGCATCAGGCTGTAGACTTGTCAAAGCTTTTATGTCTTATGGCTATTAATTTCAGGTCTAATTCTCTGCCAGATTCCATTGCTCTGCTACTTAGATTTTGCATTGGCCCTTTCGTATATAAAGAACATTGTGCATCTATATGCTGAGGAAACAACTTGCATGTAAATGGCTGGCTTTCTTTGAAATACATGCAATTACAGTTCAGTTTCGCAAAATTTATTTTACAAGATTTGACCAGTGGTAGAAATCAGCTACAGCCTTTTAGAGCGCATACTGTGTCGTGTAAAAGTTTAAATGTGATCCCTGTCCTTTACAGTACCCACATATATATTTTTGGCCGTATTTTGGTAATTTTTACATGGGTAAATTGACTTCTTTGGTAGGTAGTTCAACAAGGCAATATTGCCCTTCATTTGAATTACTTGAATGACCTAAATATTGTAGAACAGTTGAAATTTGTAATTGGAATTAATTTATAGTTAAAGCCTGGTTGTATAGTTATGGTGATGACCTGTTGATGTTGACTGCACCTGTAGTAACCCACCATTGAGTGAAGAAATGCTGCCCCCTGGAGACTGGATGTGCCATCGCTGCAGTGTCCGCAGGAAGGTGAGACATGCAGCAAAGGGGCTTTTCTCCATTGATATTTATAGTTTCTGGGCATCTCTAAGAGCTTCTGATATTTTTCTGCCAAAGCAAAGAATAGTGAGACTTGTAGCTTCAATTCAAATCGGCCGATGCTCTCCTCGTGTGCTAAATTTATGCTAAGCATTTTTCTCCAATCGACAGAAGCGTGAGCAGAAAACGGAGCACATTAACGGCCTGCTGGAGCGCCAGGTATCCAAGCGGTCGTCGTCACCAGCGACGGAGATGGATCAGGCCCCGGTGCGGCTGGATGGGGTCCCCGGCACAGCGGGGGTCATGGGGGGGCCAAGAGTAGCCGTAGCACAGGTTCGACTGCTAGAGCGCCGGGCGAGCAGTCGTCCCGGTACCCCCACCTCAAACGCCTCCACGGACACGCCAACGCCCTCAGAACAGAACGATGTGGATGAGGACCTGCTGGACGTGGAGGACGAGGGGCCCAGCTCTGAACCCGAAAGCGCAACGCCACACCTCAAGAGGCCTTTTGAGCTACTAATCGCCGCTGCCATGGAGAGGAACCCCACACAATTCCAGCTTCCTAACGAGCTCACCTGTACGACGGCACTTCCGGGTGAGGAAGCGGAATTCTACCCTTTTTGTGAGGAACTTACGACATCTATGGGGGTGTTCGGGGATGTCGTGGTTACCCTCGAGAAGTGTCCGGTGGAGCCTGCAGCTGAACTCCTTTTTCAGTGATCCGCCACTGGTTTTGTCTGTGTCTCCAGGAACAAGTAAACGGAAGAGAAAAGAGGAGATGACGGGGAAAAACGTGAAGAAGCCTCAGCATGAGCTTGACCACTATGGGCTGGTCCCACTGCCCGTGAAAGTCTGCTTCACCTGTGGCAGGTACGTTTCGTGGGGCACGGGCTGCGGTGGGGCTGCTCCTGGAGCTCGTCTCCATCTCTCGCATCCATCAGCCAAACTTTATCCCTCAGTGATAGAATTGCTTCTGCTGCTCACTAGTAGTTTCTGTTGTTGTGTGATTTTTCTCCAGCACTTGTCCTGTTAACATGAAATTTTATTCATGCTTTCTTTACTTGCATTCATTGCCTGAAATTGGACACGGACCCCTTTCTGAAAATTGCACATCTGTTTGAAATTTAAATGTAATCATGGAAACTTTAGTAAAATTAACCACAGTGTTTAAGTCCCACAATTCCAGGGAGGTCTGTTTTTTCCATTGTGGGGGATCGTTTTTTGGTCCGCCATTGATTTGTGGCTTTCATGGATGTACGTTCTTTGCTGTACTTATGAAAGCCTTTGTCAGACTACTTCAGTGTTCAGAGGTAGTAATTTGTGAAACAAAGAATGGTTGATGGTAATGAAGTTTACCCAGGGCTGTTACAACTTAATACTTATTAAAATTAAAGCTTGACTTAACAGCTGTATTGTAAGTCTATATTCTGTTCTGATTTGTCAGTCTTTGTCCCTGGCAATTTTGATGAGCGATCAGGGGAAATGGTGATTTGCCGGACTTGATGTATTGTGCCTCGCTTGTACATCACTCTGGACAGAAGTGTCTGCTAAATAGGCATTCAATGTTCAAATAGTGAAGATAATTATAAGCGACGGTATGACAGTAATTACCAGAGCATCTTGGATGAAAGGGCCAGACTTTCATCTTGAAGAGAAGACTTTCTTTACTTCGAAGTATTGCTAGAACATGTTACCTGCAGAAGTTGCAAACCTCGAGTGTGACTAAGAGAGAGTGCTTTAGATGTCTTCTGTTCACTTCAAGAGGTCTGCTTTAGATGCCCAACATACTTGGTCAGTTGGCTCTGTGAGCTGGTGTCCCCGGGACAGTGCTGTCTTCAGGGAAGTTGGCTCTGTGAGCTGGTGCCCCCGGGACAGTGCTGTCTTCAGGGCAGTTGGCTCTGTGAGCTGGTGCCCCCGGGACAGTGCTGTCTTCAGGGCAGTTGACCAGGTGTGCGACGGCCCGCTCAGAAATATGGCAAGAAGTGAAAGGTGTGTGTCTTTGTCGCTATACTAAGAGGCGGTGAAGATTCTGGTACAAGGTCATAGTACACACGTTGCTTCATATTAGTGTGGTCTGGCACTATCTGTTCGACTCAGCATTGTGTCGATATTCCATTATCTCAAGGACACTGGCTTTGTGCTCTTCATTCTGACGTCTCTGCGTTGGTGCCTGGCTTCACCCCCAGGTGCTACTGCTAATACTGAGGCTGAGCTTGAACTTGGGGAAGGTTTAACTTGCCAGGTTTAATGTTTTGAATGTGCCCCCCACCCCCATCTGCCATCGCAGGAGCTGCCGGGTGGCCCCTCTTATCCAGTGTGATTACTGCCCCCTTCTCTTCCATATGGACTGTCTTGACCCTCCCCTCACCGCCATGCCAACTGGGAAGTGGATGTGTCCCAACCACATCGAGCACCTTGTGGTGAGCTCTACCGTCCCGTCCCCCCCCACCCAGTACACACACAGAATAATTTTTGTCAGGTGACTGCTCAGTTGACTTCCCGAGGCTTTTGATCTCTCCAGAATTGAGGCCGTTCTTTCAGTTTGTAATTCAGCCATTCAGCTGATTAACGCATCGCAGAATTTGTCAAACCAGTCCCCAGGGACCCCCGGAGAGTCCACAAAGGCGGGATTCTTAGGCAGGACTCCGACCCAGAAACTGACCCCAGGTTCTGTTGTTGCAGCTCAACCAGAAGAACATGACCCTGAGCACTCGCTGCCAGCTGTTCGACCAGTTCCAGGACCGCATGTCCCAGCATGCCGTGAAGGTGGACTTCCTGCGCCGGATCCATCGGCAAAACCCACCCATTCGACGAGGGGCCCACCTGCATAAGAAAAAGACCCTCAAGGTATGGCCGCCCACCTTGAGATGACGCAAGATGGGGGGGGGGGGGGCTGAGCGGCTGAGCGGTGGCTGGCTCCCACACAGACACGCGGTTTCTTTAATGCTGAGCTCTTGTGTCGGAAAATTCCAGCATCGGGATAAACCTTCCGCTGCCTGCTAACAGAAAGATGCAGCCACAAGTCCCCTGCCCCCGACAGTGCACTCAATCCCTCGCTCTTTCCTCTTGACTAGGTCCCCGACGCTATCAAGTCCCAGTACCAGTGCCCCCCTCCCCTTATGGCCCCTGCCGGAATCCGCAACGGGGAGCTCATCTGCAACGGGGTCCCCGAGTCTGACCAGCAGCACATCTCACCCTCCCAGCACTTCGCCAGCGAGCCTGAGCAACAGGAGGTGGGCGATGTTTGTTTGTTTGTTTGTTTGTTTGTTTGTTTTTGTTTGTTTTTGTCTGTTCGTTCGTTCGTTCACTACTCCTGGGTGCCTGTAGTGTTACGGGGGGTGAAAAAGCTGTCATGGTATCTTCTAAGCCCCTTCCTCCACCTTTCTTTTTCGGGAGCTGAGTGTGCAGCTTTTTTGGGGCAGTTGCGGTCACCTCTCACTCGTGATCTTAGCCTCTGTCTTCCCCTGTCCTTCCCGCAGTGGCTTCGGGACGTTATTTCGCTTCAGTGCAGCATCATGAGACATTTATCTGCCAAGCAGATGCCTTCCTCACTCTGGGACTCTGAGCAGACGGAAAAGGCCGACCTCAAGCCCTGTGCGCCGGCGGGGGGGACCGAGTGTCCGTGTGCCACAGAGAGGACGCTTCCCTCCGCCTCCTGCTCTAAGTCCTGCAGCAGCCCAGCTGGCCCCCAGGGGGCCCCGCTGCTGAATTCCTTGGGCAAGGAGAGTGAGGAGAAGCCTTGTCAGAACTGCCAGACCGCCAACGGGCTGCTGGATCAGCCGGCCAAAGCAAACGGGCCCACGTTATGTGGGGGGGCCTCCGAAGCTCAGCGACAGGCGGAGCTCCAGAACCGACTGAGCGGACCCCCGGGTTCGGCGCGGCCACGGCCCCAAGCACTTCCCGACTCGGCCCCCACGTTGGCCAACCATGTTGGGGAAGTCACGATCAAGACTGAAAGCGGCGATACCCCTGACCCCTGCAGCCGGAAGGTTCCATCCCCGTCGACCTGCGGCAGTTTGGACCCCGTACCCCCCGTGCAGGCATACGGGGCCACCCCTGGGACGGGTGGGGGGCAGGCGGCTGCGCTGACGAGCCGCAGCGTGTCCTCGCCCACTGCCGGGACCCGTGCGCTTACACCTCCGCGAGCATCACATGACACGGGAGCCGTCCGGCTCGCCTCCCCCTCAGGTAAGGAGACGCTCACACTGGCCAAGCACAGATGCTGCTGTTCTAATGAATGCTTTAGTAATGCATGCCCCCCCCCCATCTAAACAGAAGGGAAAGCCAGCCCCTGTCCGCTCTCGCTTGAGGGGGGCTCCCAGATCCGAGGCTCCATGCCCCCCACGGAGGACCTGTCCAACTATGTGAAGGCTGCAGTCGATGAAGATGGAGGCAAGTTTTGCATCTGAAACCGAAGTCAGCAAACGTTTATTTTAACGTGAGCATGATGGAGGGGGATTTGTGCGCCTCCAAAAGAAGAAACTGTGCTCTGCTTGTTTAGAAATCGAACTGGGCAAGTTGGACAACCGGCTGATCAAGCTACTGGCCTGGCAGAGGATCCAGCAGCTGTTTGACCCCAAAGCACTTTCCCCGCCCGTCGTGAGCCTGCCGCCCACGGCCCCCGCAGCACAGTCCCCGCGTCCTGATGGTACGGCTCCCGGGCCACCTCTGCTCAGAAACATTGCCGCTCTGAGGGTCCACAGTCTGAATTGGTGTCTATTTTTATTATTATTATTATTATTATTATTATTCTTCAGGCTTGTTGGCTCCCTCCCCACCACTGAAGAACGAGGTGCAGGCCAGGGCCGTGTTTTATCCGCTGATGGGAAAGGGGGGGCCAGTCAACATGTGCTACAGGAGTCTGCACATTGGGACAGGTAAACAAACGGCCGGCAGTTGGCGCATGCCGTCCTGGTGCCACCAGAGCAGCGCCCGGCAATTTTCAATTCCGGGGACTTATTTTTGCAGATATATCTGCTCAGTGCTGAGCAAGTGTTGTGGCAATCTGTTCACTCATGCAGTATTCCCTATATAGAAAAATCATTGTGGTTCACTATATATAGGGAATTAGTCAGTGAAACAAGAGTACGGCTCCAAAGAGTATTCCAGGACGCTCTAGGCTGGTATCCTAGCAACATTTGACAGCTGCCATTTGCCATTGGCAAAATACATCTTATTTTATAAAATTATTTAGAATTGAGGTATCAACTTGGGTCTTTGCACAGATCGCTAGCATAATATTAAACGTGCTTACATTTGTACACAAGACCTTTTTGTGTTACGAGCAGTCAGTTGAAAGATTCACCTTTGTACTGCATTTTGAAATACAGAGACCATCACTATAATTTACAATGCATTGTGGGTGTAATATCGTGCACTGTATAATGAGTCAGCTTTGCTGGTCAGATTTCAAACACTGCAAAATTGCAGAGATGCTTTTCTGTAATTTGGGAGCCCATAACCGGGATGGGAAATGCTCATATTGTGTTTCTTTGGCGCCGTTTTCCACAATGTACTATGATACCAAGTGCTTTTTCCATTTAATCACTTTGTGCAGGTGCCGACATGGATGTGTGCCTTACAAACTACGGCTTTTGTAATTACGTTTCTGGAAAGCACGCCTGCATTTTCTACGACGAGGTAGGTCATGCGCACTGGGATGTCACTTATCCCCTTAGTGCGCAGCCAGACTGATATTTTCTGTTTTAAAAGTAATTGTACATTGATTCCTCCCTAGATAGTGTGATTTAATTGCCAGAGCAGCGATCTACAGATGCTGTGTTCAGCTAATTATTTAAGCTGTTTTAGTACCCTGACTAAGGTTAAATGGTGATTAAATGGTTTGCCTTGATTACCTGACCCTACACAATGCAGAAGATGCTGGTCTCTAGAAAGTGTTCTCTTCTTGCCCTCAGAACACAAAGCACTATGAGCTGCTGAACTACAGTGAGCACGGCACGACGGTGGACAACGTGCTGTACTCGTGCGACTTCTCCGAGAAGAGCTCGCCGGGGCCCTCGAGCAGCATGGTCTCCAAAGTGCAGAGCATCATCCGTAAGCGTCCCCCCCACCCCCCAGTGTGTTTATCAGCCTGTGGCAGGTGGACTTCCATAGAGTGTTTAAAGCAGTTATCTTAAACAGTCCTTGTGTAGATGTAGTGACAGCTGAGGTCTTCTGGGATTGGCTCCAGATCCATGTGAACCTTGCTGCAGAAGCACCTGTTGTAAGTGGGTGGAATGGAGGATGGCAGTATGACCGCTTACCATTCTGTGTGTGTGTGTGTGTGACCTGTGCGCCTACGCAGGGAGGTGTAAAAAGAGGACACAGCAAGAGGAGGATTGTGCTGAGGCGTCATCAGTTCCACCAGCAGGGGGCGTGATGAGTTGCCAGCCTCACGGCCCTCCTCGTACCTCTTGCAGCTGCAAGGCCAGCAGCTCTAGTTTGATTGGGGGCAGCGGGGCCGGCTGGGAGGGTACGGCACTGCTACACCACGGCAGCTACGTCAAGCTGGGATGCCTGCAGTTCGTCTTCAGCATCACAGAGTTTGCCAGCAAGCTGCCGGAGCGGCAGGGGCTGCTCCATCCCGGGAAGGTGCTCCCGGACCAGCAAGCCCTCAGGGGCCACCAAGTGCCCGTTCTGCGCTCCAATTCGGTCCCGTAGCACCTGGGGACCAGCGGCTGCGGCTGCGGCACGGTCCCGGTGACTCTGGCTCCTGAAGCTGTCTTGTACAGAAGAGTAAAGGATTTTTATTTAATTGTTAATATTTGCATGAAATGAAGTATTTTGTTTGGCTCATATTTTATGAGCCATAAAATATTGCACATAAATTTCTATCTTTTTTTTTATTACAGAACTTAACATTTATTTAGATTTGCATACAAAGGGATACTTTGTCCTTATCATTCAACTAATGTAAAAATGTCAGTTTCCATCACTTTTTAAACAATCAGAACCCCATTCTATTTTGTGCCAGTATGGATAGTTTTTATATAACAATGCTCCTTTCTCTATAATGGTTTTTTTTTATTTCATGTTTGTAAAATGGTAGTATTCATGGTTTTTGCCACTTTTTGCACTACAGGTAGCTGCATATTCATGTGTATGCACATGCACGCCCAGCGCACAGACGTGAGCGTGTGTATTTGCGTACACATGGATGTTTTCCGGATTTCAACTTTCAATGAAAAGCAGTGGATTCTGTGTACATGCCCATCGTCGGTTTTTAAATGTGTACAGTAATTCATGCTTCAGTCGTCATGTTCTGTGGCATTGCTGATAGTTTTGTCGTAAGACTTCTGAAAACCCCTTCAGACACTCTAGTTCACGTGTAAATAGTAACTATCGTTTTAGCTTTGATTTGAACGTTCATGTATACTGTATATAAATCAACTTTGACTTTCTGCTTGTCTGTTATAACAGTGTAAATACAAGATTTTTTTTAAAAACAAACTTAAAACAGGAATTTCACAGTTTTGGTTATTTGGCTGTGACACTTGTTTGTCTTCTGCTGAGTCATGGTGGTGATGCATGCTGTGAATGTTTCTGAAAGGTTTCAGAAATGTAAACAAAGAAGGCATCACACTTTGAGAGTCTTTGTTTGCTAAAAATATTGTACTAGTTTTTTACTAGTTGCGCGGCAGCCGGAAATTGGGCGTTTATTTTTTTGTGAAACTGCACCCGTAACTAGCTATGCGATATGCGAAAACTCCCATTTCCTGCACATGACCTCTTGCATATCAGTATCCGGCGGAACGTTATTCTGTTTGGCCGCAGGGTGGCAGTAATGTACAAGGAATGGCAGTAATGCACAAGGAACGGCACTAAAATTAACAATGGTGGCAAGATTAGAAGCCGTGTCATCAATTGGCGGGGCGATTTACGCGTGAAGGTATATTTACTGTGAGGTAAATGAAACCAAATTAATTATTTGGGGTTACAGGTCACCTACCATCGGTTTCTACGCCCCTGCACATAAAGAAACATGCCAAACGGAACTCTATCGTAACTATACCCTCAGAAGTGAACTTCGCGAATATTTCGTATGACCGAGCAACACGGATGGGATCATGGTGACCGACAGATCCATCTGCCTCCCGTAACATGCCACCATCAGGGCGAGCCCATGATTTACGCCGACACTACACTTTGCTGTAAACGTTTTATTCAAGCGGAGCAGGATAAAGAGGCGGTGATAGCAAATATGCACCCTGTTCCCATGTCGGTTAAAACACAGTATCAAAACCAGACCAGAGAACGTGGATTAAAGTAATATGCATGTATTAAACTGAACCGTTATTGGTTCATGTATATGTGAATAATCTGCTTGATGTTTACAGCTGGATCTAAGTAACATTATTTCGCAGTAGAAACTCCGCAGTTGAGAAACAACGGTCTACTATGACTCAACTTCCCTACAATACAGTCGAGCTACTGTGGCTCCTCCTTACCATCTAACCATTTTTAGCTCGTAATTTAGGGTGAAGGCAGTAAACTGATAGCTGCACTTGATAGGAGGTTCCGTCTCGACACAATGTCTGCGTTTATCCTTATTGTTGGAGTGGCTATAGGGGTGTATATTTTCTTGTATAATGCTTTCGTCCGGGGAGCACGGTGCCGAAGCAAAGTTAAGCTGCATGGGAAGACTGTTATAATCACGGGTGAGTCTCTTTTATTGTTATGAATGTTTAAAAATGGTCGCGGGTGGATGCATGGATATTTATAAAGAGAGTGCAGTTTAAAAATAAACTGCGTAGTAATTGTATAACCCTAATATAAAAAAAACAATATTTTCAGGTAGCAACACCGGCATCGGGAAAACTACGGCGGTGGATCTGGCGAAGAGGGGGGCACGGGTGATTCTAGCGTGCCGTGATCAGCAGAGAGCAGAATCGGCTCTCCGTGACATTACAGCGGTAAGACAAATAACCCAGAAGGATTTATGCGGTTTGGTTATAATTCGGCCTTGTCGCGAACTTAACCTGATATGCTGCCTGGACCGCCAGGAGAGCGGGAGCAGAGAGGTGGTGTACATGCAGCTGGATCTGGGTAGCTTGGAGTCGGTGCGCGCCTTCGCGGAGAACTTCCTGAAGAGCGAGCGCAGGCTGGACCTGCTCATCAACAACGCAGGTATAGCCGGCGGAGCTCCTTTGCTTTTCACTAGCGAGTAGTGCTGGCCACGCCGTCTACTGGAATGTGAATAAAGCCAGGCTGAAATGCGTGTGAACTTGGTGCAATACACATTTCATGTATTAAATGCTTTAAGTTTAATATTATTGATTGTTCTTGAATATCATTTTTAGTTTTTGCGAAAAATCACATAAACATAAAATCACAATTAACGATTTTCGTCTATAGCGTGGTAGCATGTAGTATTATTTGCCGTAAAAAAAAAAACTTCAATCTTCCAGGAATTGTCAAGCAAGGGAGGACAAAGGATGGCCTGGGAATGATGCTGGGTGTCAATCACATTGGCCACTTCCTGCTGACGAACTTGTTGCTGGATCGACTGAAGCAGTGCCAACCCAGCCGTGTGATAAACGTGTCGTCCGCAGCCCATAGTTTTGGGAGCGTTGATTTTGAAGCCCTGAGTGCCCACAAGGCTCTGGGTGTCGGCACATCTAACATGGCCGTGTTTAGAGTGTACTCTGACAGCAAGCTGTGTAATGTGCTCTTTACCCATGAACTAGCTAAAAGGCTAGAGGGCACCAACGTCACGTGTTACAGCTTGCACCCGGGTGAGTCACACTCAGGAAAAAAGGTACCGATTTGTACCTTTGCTTGTCACTGGGCCTGTACCCTCAAGGGTCTGCCAATTGTACCCTTAGCTGTAGGTAATTGTACCTTTTAAAGTACAGAAATGGACTCTGCTGTTTGTACCTTTGAGATGTTCCTGAAAGTCCATTTCTGCACCTTAAAAATGACAAGGATACAAATTTTTACCCTTTTTCGAGAGTGCATGGATAGAGCCTCTTAATCTGGACACGTCACGTGACATACAGCCTTTTTGTATATTGATAAAAATGCAAAAGTTTTAAAATCTACTGAGCACATAAAATTTAATTTGCATGTAAGAATAGTTTATTTGCAAAAAGGTATTAGTTACCGGGGAAGGTTCATTACTACTGCTTTAGATGCTATGGTATTCTTGTTTTTTTTGTTTTAGTGAATCTAACAGTCTCGACTTTTCATTTCGTTCCTCAGGTGCAATCAACTCGGAGCTGTCACGTTATTCCAGTCCCTTCTTAAAGGTCCTGCTCATGCCTATAACCCTGCTCTTCTTCAAAGACACAAAGGCAGGGGCCCAGACCACCCTGCACTGCGCCCTGCAGGAGGACCTCGAGCCCCTGAGCGGCCGCTACTTCTCAAACTGTGCCATGAAGAAAGTCGGCGCCAAGGCGCGGGACGACGCTGTGGCCAGGAAGCTGTGGGAAGTGAGCGAGAGGCTTTGTGGTCTGTCCTGAGGGCCCACTCGACAGCGGGTCCTTCAGCATGGAGAGATGAGCTGACAGATGGAGATGCAAACAGAAAGAACACTGGGGCCTGTTTAAGAAAGTGGGATTTCTTGCTTAGCCAGATAACTTGTCAGATTTAAGGTAGTCTGGGCTAAATGGACTTTCTTCACTTACATTTACCCCAGACTACCTTAAATTCAACAAGATATCTGGTTAAGCAAGAAATCCTGCTTCATGAAACAGGCCTCAGGAGATGTGCTTCAACATTCCTTTAACCCTCAATGTAATTTAGACTTAATATGTATTAATGGGCTTTAAATAAGTGTTTATTTGGAAGCACAATTACTGTTCATTTTAATTACTGAAATATTGCTTAATTGAAAATATCCATGTCTTACTAAGGTGTTGGCACAAGCCTTCTTAAAACATAAAAAAATAAAACATTATCATTCACAACTACACCAATATATTTCAAAGATGCCATTGTTGTAAATGTTAAATCTTTTATGTATGAGCAAATTGCGAGCATAAAGTTGGCACAATACTCTTTTTAATCAGAATTTCTTATTGTTATTGCACAACTGTCCATAAAAGAAAACCTTTGGCTCATTCCTATTAACAGTATCAGTAAGACACATGTCAAAGGACAGTTAGAGAAACAGTATATAAACAATAACACAAGATTGGCATTTATAGTAAAAAAAAAAAAGTTGATAGTATATTGATAGAAAGTGATGAGTGTTTAAAGAAAGTGTCAGGTATAGAACAACAGTTCAAGGTAGCAGCATTGACAGTCTGTGTGGCCACAGCTCTTGGGCAGGAGCTGTTTTTCAGCCTAGAGGTTCAGCATTACCACCCTGTATTGTGGAAGATCAGCCCTGCAATGATTACGTCGCCTGCAAACTTGCCAATCTTGTGTGAACATGGAGAGTATGTTAGTAGACTGAGCATACAACCTTGTGGAGCGTCTGTGCTTAAATGTCGAGCTAAAATCAACAAACAGCAACCCAATGTGTGAGTTGGGATGTTCCGGGTGGGTTCAGGTTGTGTGCGGTGCAGTGGAGATGACCTGTTTATCCTGTAGGCAAGCTGCTGTTGATCAAGATTGGGGGGGGGGAGGGTGCTGGCTTTAATATGAGTCAGTACCAGTCTCTGACTATAGTTTTAAAGATATTCGCACCACATTATGGGTTTGTACTACAGTTTTGTTTGTCTGAATTTTATGTACTTTGCTGCTGTATGCACTAGAATTTCCCTCCAGGATCAATAGAGTTCATCTTATCTTAGGGTGAGCAGATAATCCATGTCAGGGAGGACACTTGGAGCTACTTCAGGTTTTATAAACTACTTTACTTTAAGACTGAAATGCTCCTGTGTTTGGCTAAATAATTCAGTTCGCCTTGTGCTTTGGCTGGTTTGTTTCCTTGATTGAAAGGCTCATCCAGCGGATTCACATTAATATTAATGGAACATGCATGATTAAAGGAGACTGACCAATCAGCACACAGCAAGAACTCTGTACTTACGTGAAATCCAGGTCCTTCTGATTGAAATGGTAGTTTAGAAATCCTGTCCTAGCTCAAAGTGGCCTCCCTGACGTGGATTGTCTGGTCACCTGATCTTATGTTAAACTAGTTCACACGCCATTGTTGAATAAAGTAATCCGTGAATCTCGAGAAAGCAACAGCGACATCTAGTGGCTACACTGTTATACCGCAAGTATGAGGTAACCGGAAGTACATTACTGTGAATCAAGCTAGAAGAAAGTGGCGTTTATGTTTTTCCTGTATATAGTGCGGGCCTTGCAATGAGCTTACATTGAGATCAGGATACTGGACTGTGCAGTACGAGGAATGTCACTTTTCCTGGTATATCTGGCTGGAGTGATTGGTCTTTACATAATCATTTATTATAATGTGATTAAATGCTGTACATGCAAGAGCACCGCTGTGCTGAAGGGGAAAACTGCTATCGTAACAGGTATTTATTTTTGTATTACACTCTGAGTCATAAACAAGATTCTAGTATAAAAGAAATGGAAAAAAATATATATAACATGTATTTTATTGAAAGATACGGGATTCCGAAGCGTTATTGTAATTGTTTAGTCTTTGGTTCGTTTTAAGCATTTTTCGTGCAAATAGACCTACCTGCAAAAAAGGCTTATCTAAAATTGTAACCAGCAATTCAGCCTCTTGTCAGTTGCTGTTACTTGTGTGTTAGTAATTTTTAATGCATTCCTGGTATTTCATCTGTTTCTTAGGCATAATTCGGCGTGCATTCACGTAACCGCCCCTTGATCTGTGACACTCGGTGTTCCCTGGCCGTCAATTTATTTTCTTCAGGTGGGAACACTGGCATAGGGAAGACTACGGCTTTGGATCTGGCAAAGCGAGGGGCGCGGGTTATCCTGGCCTGTCGCAATAAACGGAGAGCCGAGTCTGCAGTCTTCGACATTAGGAGGGTGTGGGCCATTTTCGTCTTTCTATCATTCTTTAAGTACATTATTGAGCTATCGGACCATAGCCACTTTTCAGACCCCCTTCCAATGGAGAGTGACTTACCTTTAATTTCACTGGTACTTTCAGGAGAGTGGGAACAATGAGGTGGTGTACATGCAGCTGGATCTGAGCAGCCTGAAGTCGGTGCGCGCCTTCGCAGAGATGTTCCTCCAAACCGAGCCCAGGCTGGACCTGCTCATCAACAATGCAGGTGAGCTAGATGCGGAGCTAGACTTTTATTTAGGGGGGTGCAAAGGGTGAGCAAGGGTTTCTCAGAGGGGTCCATATAAATATGATAAATGAAGGAAAAAATATTGTATTTTAACTAGTTTTCTTTTTATTTAATGTAGCTAGCTATTACTAAATTAAAATAGATTGATTAATTAAACCCTCACATTACAGTATAGTGAAGTTGATTCACAGTTTTAATATGACATGCATAAGCCTGCTTACATGCAGTAGAAAACTAATGACTGGTTCTCTACATATACACTTACCACACAGACTTCAAGCAAGGGCTAGCTTTGCTAAAACAATAAAACGACACTATATTTCAGCTTGTGCACTAAAACATACATACGTACAAAGACGCTGTCTAAAACACGATCTATATCAGCACGAGCAGGGCTCGTGGCTAATGTTAACGAGACATGTAGCAGAAGTGCGCAACGCTTTCATGCTGCTATTTTTATGTACTGCAAGTGTGTGACCACCTCTCATTAGGAAGGTAATACAGCGTAATATGTTATAAATACCTGCTTAACTCCTGCTGTTATCAATACCGCGGGTGTGTTTTGGATCACGTAGGAACGCGTGCCGTTGCCAGATATTCTTTTCTGTACCTCATACCCAATACTGAGCAAAGATGTTTTGAAGCGCAGGTGCTCAACGCATTCAACACATACATTAGATGGGCACTCTTTATTTTTAAATAAATATAAATATCCTTGGTATGGTCATGGTTGCTCAATGCCAGCTTCAGAACCGTAACTAAGAATCCTTTTTGAGGTATGATTGGACCTGGCAGGACAGAGGACGGCTTTGGCATGGCATTTGGGGTCAACCATCTTGGCCACTTCCTGTTGACCTGTCTGCTGCTGGACCGCATGAAGGAGGCTGGGCGGAGTCGCATCGTAAACGTGGCGGCCCTTCTGCACCGCCTGGGCACCGTCAGCTTCACCACCCTGGCGGCCCACAGAGACCTGGTCACCGGGCAGAGGACCTGGGACAACTTTCAAGCTTACTGCAACAGCAAGCTGTGCAACGTGCTGTTCACCCGGGAACTGGCCAATCGACTGGAGGGCTCGGGAATCAGCTGCTTCAGCCTGCACCCAGGTGTGTGTCCGCTGACCACGTGCACAATGCACTTCCTGTTTAAGACACGCCCACCTCTGCTCTTGTGTTATTTTACCATTTCACTGATTTGAATGGCTTAGCTGTGTTTTTATTTGCTTAATCATTGGATATTGGTGGAAGAAACCAATCTAGTAAACTTAAATTGGGTGGGATTATTGTGTTATTCATCTAACCCACTTGGGTTAAACCAGGCAGTTACTGACAATGCACAATGATTCCACTCAGTGTGGCTTTCCAAGTCTCATTTTCCTCATCAATGCTTTTCAACAGAAAATTTGGCACATTTTTTGGCAGGTGAATGTTACACCAGGGACATTAAGGTGCAGTACCTTGCCCAGTGATACAGGATGGTCCATCTTATGATTTGCTGACCAAATGGTTACATGTCTTCATGTTTGTCCACCCTGCTGCACCAGTGTGGGTTTTATATTCTTTAAAATTCTCTCTGTATAATCATCTATATGGGACGTGTCGCTGAGAACTTTCTTTTAAATTGGTTAGAGCAGAGGGATCTGTATATTAAAATGATCCGGTTATGCACCATCCTGCCTGTAGGTGTCATCAGCACTGAAATCGGGCGCAACATGAGCTGGTGGCTGAGACTCCCCCTCGTTCCCATCGCCAAGCTGTTCTTCCTGGACGCGGAAGCCGGCGCACAGACCACCCTGCACTGCGCCCTGCAGGAGGGCATCGAGCCCCTGAGCGGCCGCTACTTTTCCAACTGCGCCTTGCAGGAAGTCAGCGCCAAGGCGCGGGACGACGCTGTGGCCAGGAAGCTATGGGAAGTGAGCGAGAGGCTTTGTGGTCTGTCCTGAGTCCGTGTCCGGATGCAGCGGCACAGCAGCTGTCCTGGGTGTGTACCTGTAATTCAAGGGCTTCTGATCCAGCAAATCTTTCAGAAAAATGCCTTAAATGACTCCTTACCAGTGTCTTAATACTTTTCTTAAAGTTTTTGGGGGAAAAAACTGAATTATTTTTGTTTTCTAACTTGACTAATATGTAGTAATTTAACTTTTTTAACAATTCAAATGAACAAGTGTCATGCTTGCAAAGTTTAACTTATTACCGGGGCTGAGCGTAAAAAGACATCATCTGTAGGCCTGTCGGTGAAGGTCAGAAAATGTAATTGTAATCACGTGTCAATAAATCGGAAATTCAGACATGCCTTCGTATTGTCCCATATTATTTGATTGCCTTTGTACCTTTGCCTGTCACTGGGGCTGTGCCCTCAAGGGTCTGCCAATTGTACCCTTAGCTGTAGGTAATTGTACATTTTAATGTACAGAAATGGACTCTGGAACATTTCTGAACCACTGATGGTACGTTAATGCTGTTTGTATGTTTGGGATCTTCCTGAGAGTTCGTTCATATACCTTAAAGGTACAGTTACAAGGGTACACATTTTTACCCTTTTTTCTGAGAGTGTAGGTAAGATTACATTGTGTACGAAACAATTTTTTACCTATAATTTTAATCTGTTGTTTGTTGTTGTTGTTGTTGTTGTTGTTAAAGGGATCCAAAACGCGCTTATATCTACCTAAGCGCCACTCTGGCATCTGGTCAGCAGACGGACGCGAAGGAGTGCGGCGGTGCAACGGGTTACCGCCAAGATCCCATAGCAAGCAAACCGGAGCCCGAAGGGGTGTCGATTAGACCCGATCAGTCGCCCTCCGTGCCTAGGCGAGGGCAAGGCGAAGGGAGGCGCGGGCGGCCAGCTGCCTGTGTTTTAAATTTCGCGGTGCACTGTGGATTATTTTCAATATGCTTTTATTTATTACTGCCACCCTGAGCCGGCAGCGAAATTACAAATTAATCTTGAATGTGATAGTGCTAAGTAGATTATACTTGTACCTGAAAAGAAACGAATTTTCCTTTTAAAGGTTAAGGATAAAAATGCGTGAGCGCCGAGCAAGTGCAAAATATTGCTGGATTTCATTTATATGCATATTTAGCCATTAAAAATATTCGGGGGAGATTGTATGCGTATATTAATAGGCCTACATATGATGGCATTCTTCAGCTGTTTCATGCGTGCTCGGTAATACGATTTTCTAACCGTGAGTCAGGTACATTATGAATTGAATAAGGCTTTGACTTGGAACAATACCAACGTTTCTCCGAGTTTGCTGCGGTGATTTGTATTTTGCGCCTTGAAGTGTCTGCCTACTGACAGTAGCTAAGAGCCACGTCTTAAGTTGTTGTTGATGGGACAATAATTCTGGCCGCATTTTATGTTAATATACTGAACGGCCTTGGATCCACGCAGAACGACGATATATCAGTGTGTAAATAAGACACTGAGTCTTGTCTGAACATCTTGGAGGCTATCTGATTTATGACATCCTTTATATGCATGCAGTCACTGTGACATTGAATAGCTCTTCACAGCCAACCGTAAAGTGAGAAGTTTATACGCGAAGCACCGCGAATACAGCCTGGTATTTAGTACTGTCTTGGCTTTGTGCTACACTTTTGATTTTTACAGTGCTGAATATATTCAACTGGGCCGGTGTCAGCTGTGGTTGATGTATGGACCAACGGATTATTTAACATTCGTACTAGTTTGTGAATTAGTATGTTTGTATAATCTGCGCTATTGTGAAGTAACCAATCGTGACAACCAGTATTATAATTTATCAATTGTTTTGGAAAAATTAGTGACACAAATCCATTGACCCTGATCAGGATTTGCAGATGGAGGATGAATAGATGGATGATGAAAGAAATTAGCCTATACATCAGAAAAATACAACAATGTTAAGAGGAAAACCTCCCCAAAGAATGGGGGTTGGGACTGGCCCTGATGGTAGCCGAGGGGTGGCGTCTTATCTGCTAGTATCTGCATGGAAGAACCGGTTAGTGAGGCTGAGTTGCATCTGGGGACACGGAGTCCGTAACTGCTGATTTGCATCTGGGGACACGGAGTCCGTAACTGCTGATTTGCATCTGGGGACACGGAGTCCGTAACTGCTGATTTGCATCTGGGGACACTGAGTCCCTAACTGCTGATTTGCGTCTCCAGGTGAGCTGCACAGCATCCTCACTGCTTCTTTAAAACCAGGCTTAATTTATGCATTTTCGATATGTAGATTTTTTTTCTTTCTAAAATTATTCCCTATTGCCCCCTATCATGACCATATAGTGAATATGCCTTCATAGTTCAGTTTTTTATTCGCGTGTAAATATTTTAAAAATAGAATCTTTAAATGACTCTGCCCCTTGGTCACACGCATACAAACTATCAGCCCTGTAGTAATAATTTAAACATGTGTTTGGATTGTGATAAATCATTTTTAGTTTGCAGTTCTGTGCTTCCAGTATTGTTGTATTCTTATTGTACACTAGGGGGCAGTAATTGTCCACCGTAGTAATTTTTGCAGACAAACTTAGGCTTGTTGGTGGTCTCAGCAGTCAAAACTCAAAAGAAATTTTTGAAATCTTTTTATTTTATTTTATTTTTGCAAGTTTGTCAAACATATGCATCATTTTCCCACAGTAGCTGCACCAATAAAATCAAGACAGGAAATATTTTGTTTTTAAGTATTTTGGAACTGGACATAGGTATACTCTTGGCGAATCCTACCTCCATGATGCCAACTGAGAGGGAACAATGAACTGTAGGTGATTATCAGCCTCCCCAGCAATCCTCACTGTAGGCAGAGTGAGGTGAAGATGACAGGTGTTTGGCACACGGGATTCTGGGAAAGGGAAGGTTATTCAATCTTCTGCGTCTCAGATTTGCAGATGACCAGATCCAGACAGGCAAGCTCAGAACAAAATCAGTGGCCTGTCAAAGATAACTGCTGTGTTTGCTCCTCATTCAATCCAGCTGCATCTCTTTGTTATGGGGTGGAGAGCGTCGCAGTCGGCTGCGCCATGCTGCCTTCTGTGCAGCTTCAAGCTACGTCTGTGTGTCTGCGCATATGCATGCATGATGTAATATCAAAGGATCAGTCATCGTGCCTGGGTTTTCATGTTTATGACTCAGCATCTCTATGATTCTTTATATTCTCAGCGTCAGTACCCTGTCCTCTGCCCCCTACTGGCCTCAGAGAGGAATAGCACCTCATCATCATCACCCTTCCTGTTCACTGCCAGACTTTCATTTTGTGCCTAAATTTATTATTGTTTCAGTCCCATCTGTTTCCCATTGAATTTATCAAAACGTCGATTTTTATTGTGTCAACATCTGCCAGTTGACATATACTTTTGGATTAATATGGATACATGAAATTACCTCCCGTTATTGTTCCAAAATAATACATCAGACCCACGGTTAAACCTGCTAGATACAATACTGTGTAATGACCGCTGTGCCTGAATGATTTTTATTTACATTCAGTAAATGTACCTTCTCCCTAAAGAAAATACAAGTTTCATCCATTTATACAGCCAGATATTTGTCTAGAGCAATTCTGTTAGTTTTCGGGCTACATCTGTTCCACTTGGATGAACTTAAACCAGCAAGCTTTGGGCCATAAGTACATGTCTTCAATCAGAGCACCACCTGCTGGTGCTCTATTGTATTTCTCTTTGGAGGGCTGTGCACCTGGGGTGTTTGCCTTGGCCCTGCTCCCAGTTCCAGTGTACAGTACTTAATGATTGGATTACAACATCAATTAGCAATCGGTGCGTTAGAGCATCCTGATTGACTGATAGTGCTGGTCTTGGGCTGCTTGTGAGGCAGGAGTTGGGGGGGGGGGGCGGTGTAACACAGTGTAAGGAGCAAGCTGCCCTCAGATCAGTCAGCCATGTCAACCCCATCACTCGGGATATGCACCACAGCAACACAGAAAGGTGGTTTCCCCGGCAACTGTACAGGGAGTGTTGATGTCATAAGAGTCCTTGACTTGCGTCCGTGCAAATTCTCCACACACGCATGACCGGCATTATGGGGGATAGTGGGAAGGGGGGGGGGGGTGGTGGATAGACAGTAGATTTAAGGATGGGTATTTGTGTGACATAATATGAGACTAAGAAGGCTTTTGTTATGTGTGCAACAAATGACAATGTACATTTCAATATCTGTTATTTACATAAAAAGGCATTAACAACAGGAAGCCTGAACTTGTGTCAGCATTTGCATTTCAGTACTGTCTGTCTGAAAATTGTGTTTGTTGTTTTTGGGGGCAAGAGGCAGGTGGTGTGGAACCAGTTCTCCCAGTCCACCATCAGCTGGGAGGATGCACACCGACACTGAACCTTGGTGGATCAGGCTAATGCAGAAGGTGTGATATGTGGGGGATGGGGGGGGAGATGTGTACCCTCCCCACTTCTCCCTGGCCCTCCACGTTGATGGTAGTAGTCAGTAAACAGAACCGTCCTCTGGGTCTTGTTACTTCCACAGGTGCAATTAGACTCCCCATCTGCTAATCTGTGATTAACGATGTTTACAAATTCACTACGGCGTGCCAAAGAACTCCAAAATAGTGTCTCACACCTCCCGGTTTGTCCTTTTATGCTTTATTTCTCTGCCAGAAACTGCCCCACATCCAGACACCTATAGTGAGGATGCATATCTAAATTAGCAGAAATTCTTCAGTCATTTGACTCTTAACTGTGACGAAGTTGGAATGACTGGTAAAGCACTGAAGAACTGAGTTCACTTCAAACCCTAGGGGGTGACCAGTGATAGGTCTATAAACCAGGCATCAGATGTTTCAAATGGTCGTCTACCAGCTCAGTGGTGAAGTCAACTCCAGCATAGTCCAGGCTGTCAGGTGCCACACATGAACGCTCAGCCTTATCAGTTTTCTCTGTTGTGTTGTTTCTGCTTAGCTGGACAGACACAATTGGACATTTCATGATTATTGCCTCGTCCTCTTATCCTCACTACAAATCTCCCAGGTCGCCTTCATAACTGACTCTCTGCTGTCTCTGTACCTTCTGCGCTGTGTGTGGTAAGAATTACGGCATTCAGTCATCAACTGATTTGATTTTAAAAAATAATACATCTGGATAAAATCTTTAAACAGGACAGTTTATTTTTGGGGGGGATGCTGCTGAGTCTGAGTGAGTAGCCCTGTTGCCACACGCCTTCAAGGCTGAAGGTTCAAATCTCTGTGTGTGGAGTTTGCACGTTCTACTCAAGTCAATACTAGCACAATAACATATTGCCTGAACGCTTTTAATGCAATTAATGTTGAAAAAAAATCTTTTATA